GCTTATCTCTTTGATGCTGTGAAGGCGCTCACGCTTGAAAAACGGAGCAAGGTGGGTTCAACTTTAAAGAAGAGACTTTTTAATATTTTCCCAGCAATGGAAGCGTTATAGAGATCAACAGCTAAGTAAATGTATTAACAACTAAAATATTTAACTCTTTATAAAATTAACGTTTGAACTGACTGTGTGTGAAAAAAAATCCATTATTATGAAATTTTCCTTTTTCTTCTTTTTTTTTTAAATAATTTAACCTTTTTGCTCAAAATTATTCTGCAGGCTTGACACCGTTTGAGACAATGTGAGTGTTTGAAATTAAATGGCTGTCCTTGGTAGCCAATAATGTTAGGAAAAATATAAAGCACTGGAGTGACTAATGTTTAATTTATTCCATATTTGCAGAACAGAAAACCTAGAAAATCCAAACAAAGACCAAAATAATAATCCATGATTATTAAATAATTTAAATATTTCAGTAGTTGTACATAAAATATATTTAAATAATCATGGAAATATTATAAATACTTATATTTGTAATGCAGCAAGTGCATTAAAATGTAATGCATTATAAAGTGCATTATATTTTTATGCACTTGCTGTGTAGGCCTCGAACAACAAGGCATACGCACAGAAATCACAAGCAGACTGCTACACAGGAAGAGGTATTTGTGGTCACCTTCGCGGTTGCTCTTTCTGCAGATAACATTTCTCCTCACTGAAGAGCAGACACCGAGAAAGAGTAGGAGGAAGAGGAGCAGTAAGAAACCTCTGTCCCCCAATCGTTTCTCTCTCTACTCCTCTCTGTCGGTTGTGTCAGGAGGAATGGCTGTGTTCACCTCTAACTCTGACATTCACAAGGTCTCCTCCATAGTGGAAGACAACACTGCTGTGGGCAAGGTAAATAGTTAACTCCATATTTTTTTTAAACATATCGCACTTTCAGTGTGTGAATCAAAGATGCATAGCAAACCACTCTCTTCTTCTCAGGTGACCCTCTTCCGTGCAAAAATTGATCCAGAGTTAATGTCTGTGCATTCCTTCAGAGTTGACAGTTCAGTAAAAAACATCATCCTACACATAACCGGCACCATGACTGAGTGCATCCTTACCAGTCCCTCAGGTAACGTTTGCACGGTTTCCAAAAATGCGTCATCCAATGCAATGTCAGGAGAATGTATCTGAATATGAAATTCTATATCAAAAAGCAAAAGTATTGTTTTCCTTCTCCTTCTGAGTTAAAAGTACACTCAGTTTACCATTACCTTCTTAGAATTCCTTTTGAATAAATAAATATGTAAAATGTTATTTATGTAGGACCTTTCAACCTATAGATCACAAAGAGTTGTCCACAAAAAACCATCAAAGCCATTAGACATTAAAAGCTATTGTAAAACTAGCTTTAAACTCAAAGGAGAGGGAGGCATATTGCAGAATTCTGTATTGCTGATGAGAAGGGTTTTAGTTTCCAGCGCTGTATGTGGCACAGACACCAGGCTGTGGTCACACAACCTTTGGGATCTGCTAGAAAGTCCCAGCATGCATTCTGGTGATTGGCCATTCAAAGCCTGAGATCCTAAAATGCACTCTGGAGTGGTTGAGGAGTCAATGAGGGGGATGAGTTGCAGTGCGATGTGACAAAACTTCTGTGATTTGGTCTGAAGTCTGGTTGCAGTGTTCTGTAATCTGTTGTCTTCTCAATTTTCAGACAAAAGACAATCTATATTGAGAGAGCAAGGCCATCTAGCAGATTTGGAGCACTTCCGGGGTTTGTATCGTATCACACTCTTGCCTCCTGTTCAGGTTGGTCAATGGAAGCTGCAAGCCAAGAGTGACAATCACCTAACCTTCACTGTGATAGGTAAACAAAAAAAAAAACAAAGAAACAACAAGGACGTGTATATATGTATAGTATATTTAATATGACCGGAAGTGAAAGATCAGTCTAAGAAATCTTTGTTTTCTGATTCATACTACCAGGTGACAGCGGTGTTGACTTCCTGTACTACTTTGCCACTGTGACTAACGATACACATGCAGGTCTGGCCAGAGTGGAGGGCAGTCCTGTGGCAGGTGAAGCATTGCTTATTTATTGGGTGTTAAGGTGTATCTTTAAAAATTCTGCTACTTTAATGTGTGCTTACTATATAATATTTATACATATTTCAGGTGCCCCAGCTTTCCTGGTGCTCACAGTGACAGGCCAATCTCAAAAGGGGTCGTTTTACGCGACCCTGGTTGGTGCTGAAGGAGAGAGTCTTCAGGAGGTGAAGTTGAATCAGTCTTCGTCTGCGCCCGCCCACGACTTGGAGGAGCTTGTGGGCTTTGTGGACCACGTCCCTGCAGTTCCCTTCAGTGTTCAACTTGCAGGCTTGGACAGCAGAGGGAACAAGCTGCAGAGAGTTTCCACAGAGAAGATTCAGCCCACTCGCGTTCAGATAAAAGTAAAAAAATAAATAAATAAATAAATATTTTTAATTGTTTTTGTTTGACCAGTCAAAGAAACATTCAAGATTATCAAAACTTGCCAAGATTCCATAATAAACACTAAAATAATCTTTTAATTGGAAGCCAATCTTGGGACCTTTTCTACCCATTACCAAATAAATGGACATGTAAATAAATGTGTCCAATTTTGTCCATTTACTGTAATTGAACTCGATCATTTTAATAGTTCACTCATCACTTTGTGCATCTTAATCTCCTCAGATGATGTCGACCCCCCAGCTCCTACCAGGCCACCGCACAGTGGTGATCTTCTCCATCTACAACCACGGTCCTGCTCAACTTTTTAATCTAACAGCTGATGATGACTGTGGTTATCTTCTGACGAGGGGGCCACACGGGTACGCAGACAGGAAAGAAATGAATCTGCTTTAAGGAGATTCTTTCACTCTATGTTAGAAATTGTCACTCACGTTAATGCAAGTGTGGACTTTTTTTTAACCAGGTTGTTTGTTGAGGAACAAGACTCTTTTGATGCAGAGGTGAGCCTCCTCACTCCCGCCACGGCTCAGGCTGGAGCGACTGTGACGCTCACGCTCACTGTTCACGCACTGAACTCACTAGAATCAAACTACGCAGTGACATTTTTAACTGTGGTCCCTTTGGTGAGCAAAAGAAAGTATTTCATTCATATTTTCAAGCTTTAGTACAGACTCCTCCTTCAGTGGTCATTGTCATTGCTGTCTGACAGGATGCTGACAGATCTCCACCGTCTTGCTCTGCTGTACGGATCCACTCTGACTGTTTGGCGGATTGCACCAAGTCCAGTTGGAGAGCGTCTCTGGTCGTGTCTGATGATGTGCCCTTTGGCCTCGCTGCCCTTCAAATGCAGAAAGGCAACGGTAATTTGACAGTTTTCCGCCACCCGCCGAGGGAGGACAGCTTTGAGGAGACCCTGCCCGACCTGGGGCATCAACACTCACACAAAAACAAAACAACCGGCCACCATAAGCATCACCACCACAGAGCCAGGTTACGGACAGGGGATCCCCCTCTGAATGTGTCTGAGTGGAGACTGGGTTCATCGCAGCCCCTGTGGGTCGTCTACAAGTCCAGCTGCTGTTCAGCTCATGCCGAGCTGCTGGTGTGGGACAAAGCTGGAAATATGAAGCGCTGCATTCTGACATCTGACCAGCAGAGGGTACAGAGTGACACCACCACAGAAACCAGTGGAAGTGGACGAGCAGCACTGACAGGCATCGTTTTCCTGCTGGTGGGCCTGCTGTGGTCTCCACTGATGTAGATCTATGTAATTACAAATGTTTTGCTGCTAACGTCATACAGAGAGAAAAGTATGACAGGAAGTGCACTTAATTCAAATAAATGCTGATAATGCTTTGATGTGAAACTACAAATAAGAAAATTTCCTAATAGGTTATGAAAAACAAATATTGTTAAAAGTAATAGATGGTACATTTTATTGAGAAAAGTGAAGGGTAGCACTGAAATGTTCAGAGCAGGAAGATGAAAACGGATAAATAATTTCAGCACCACTGATGAAGATGGTGATACAAGAATCCTTTGTTTGCGACAGCATGATCTCTCACCGCAAACTTTTAATAATATTTCATTTGAATAGAGTCCTTTAGTGGGAAGGAAAAACAATAGGTAATGATTTTAGAAAATTCCTGGTTTCACACTTATTGATGGTTCTCCTGTTCATTCTTTCAACGGCTGTGCTGTCAAGAACCCAATGATTACTGATCTTAACTGGCCTGGCAGGGTCTCAGAAACGCTCAGGTGTTTCAAAGAGCCGCACACTCCAAAAAGACCTCACACACCTTTAGGATGGAAACAGGTTCCTCATCAAAATTCACAAAGTGATATTTGACTTTCTGTGTGTTTTGTTAATATTGTTAAGGAGTGAAATTGGCTAATAAATACAAATCATCATGCGACACTGAAGATATGTATCATCAGTGTATTTATACAGATTTATACTCAAATCTGTCTGTGTATGTGGCATTCTCAACCAATCCAGTTCGTTCTTTGGTTGATGCAGATTTCTTGCATTTTGCAACAGTACATTTGACACGGCACATTTCGTTTTAATAAAAACATACCTTAGTGCAAACAGCCAAACAACATAATTATTAACTATTAACATGATTTCATCCCTCTGCAATATCCTTTCACATCACAAATTCTTTTTGAAGGCAAAACAGATCTACCCAACATTACAATAGGATTTATGAGTTCTCTATCTGCAATATAAAGTCATTGCTCCCAATCTCAATTGTGTCTACCTGTTGAAGTGTGTTGAAATGAATTAGCAATATTTTAAGCAGCACGTTTTACTCTTCCATTACTAATTTACAGTTTCACAGTTGTCCAGGGCTCTACAACAAGCTCCATAAACAAAACTTCACCATCAGCTCGCAAATAATTTACAATTCCACTGAAAACTGATTAACTGTCGATACAGTTGCTTATTACATGTCCGTGGTACATAGAAAGACAAACAGACACAGTTCAGAGATCAAGAGAAACTCTGGGTCGAGACCAAACCCGTTGGTATGTTGAATGAAAAATGTGCCCAGAAAGAACTTCCACCTGAGATGGAGGACAGAGGACACTGGGCGAGCAAGGTGGAGTTTCTCCTGGCCGTGGCTGGAAATGTTGTCGGACTCGGCAACGTCTGGAGGTTTCCTTACCTCTGCTACAAAAACGGAGGGGGTAAGGTGACGTTGGATTTTAACTGATAATCATGCCTTTACTTTACGGTAAAACCTAAATAAAATTATGTGGAAATCAGTCAGGTCAGCAACCCAAATTCAAACAATATACAGTATATAGAGGTTTTTAGAAATAAAAGGCAAGATGAGATGCATCAGTCAACTAAATAACAATTTTACAAAAAGTCTATTATGCAAAGCTGTAAACTTGGGGATTAAAACTGTATTTATTTTCCACTGCAGATAGCAGAGCAATGAGCTCTATGAAAGTGAAGGTTAAACAAAGCAGGAAATTTGTTCCATGTTTTCTGGGATTTAACTGTGTTAAACCACTTTTTCTAGTCAACTTGAGGTGATGTCTTCAGATCATCTCTGTGAGAAACTCGTAGTTTTAGAGATTGATTGAAACCACTTGAGCAGATTGTTTTTTCTTTTCTCAGAAACTGAAAAACTGAAAGTGAATAAATAATGAAAAAATGTCTTGGATATGTTTGTTCAAAGAGCCAAAGTGCAACATTCCTGTTCTCAGGACCAATTGATGATTGTCGAAACAGTCGAAACATTAAATTATTTTAACTCAAGGTTCAAATTCTTCCAGGAGAACATTATCCTTCAGAGAAACCTAAAATATTAAAACCTTCCAAAGAAATTTTGTGTATTACTCTATTTAGGGATGTAACTTTTCAGTAACAAGAAATAAGCTGTGAGGGTGATCTGCTGACTATGCTCCAATGGATCCCATGTCAGTGGCACAACTTTTATGTTATAGATGGTTTCTATAACAGGCTTTCACATAAAAGCCAAATGAAATTCATACGTTACTGATTACAACATGGAAAACTGTTAAAAAATATCTCAACGAGATCAATGTGTTTGCAAAGCTACTGTTCAAAAACGTAAAGAAAATGGTTCCAGTACAATGCAAATATCAGAATCCAATCAGTGTCTTAATTTGTTGTTTTGACCCTCTGAGCCAAGTAACTGATTATCTTTTAAAATCAGGGGCATTCTTGGTGCCATACCTGGTTTTTGTGGTGACCTGTGGCGTACCTCTGTTCCTGCTGGAAACAACCATGGGCCAGTACACACAGGAGGGCGGCATCACCTGCTGGAGGAAGCTGTGTCCACTTTCAGAAGGTGACCCCTGCAGAACTTTATTCTCTGGAAACGGAGAAAGTAAAACATCATAAACAGGGCTGTTGACTTATAAAGTCAAAGTTTTCCTATAAATAGAAGTTTAGAAAAATAACCGCAAATTTAGAAATATTTCATCTAATCTTAAATGAGTCCTTTCAGATTGTTTGCCCACATTTGTCAAATATTAAGATTGTTGATATCTAGGACTTCCCTGAGGGTCCAAATATTACCCTGATTCAAACATTTTTCTAACTCTACATTTGTGTCTAAGTGGAATATCTCACTTCAGTCACTGGATAAATCAAGGCTTTTGTTGTTTTCTGTGCTGCAGGTATAGGCTTTGGAGGGCAGCTGATCCTCTTCTACAGCTGCATGACGTACATCATTATTCTGTCCTGGGCTTTGCTCTATTTCGTCTTCTCCTTCAGCTCCCAGCTCCCCTGGGCTAGTTGCGACAACTCCTGGAACACAGGTTGCATGCAAACGTGTTAAAAATGTTCCTAGCTGTCAGATGCAACATATTCACAGAACCATAGTGACAGAACGTTTTTACCATCATCTTTTCAGAGGACTGTGTGGACTTTTCAACAAACAGCACCTTCCAGTGGACCAACAGGACTAATTCCACCTCAGCGGCCACAGAATTCTGGGAGTAAGTAAAGATAAGGAAGCTGCTCAGCTACTTATGAGGCCGATGAGAAATGTGTTTTTGATTTTTAGACGGCGTGTCCTGGCTATCTCAGGGGGAATTGAGGAGGTGGGCAGCATCAGGTGGGAGGTGCTGTTGTGTTTGATTGTACTCTGGATCATTTGCTACTTCTGCATCTGGAAAGGAGTAAAGTCCACAGGAAAGGTCAGCTGATCTTTTTTACAGAATCACTGGTGCCATTCAGAAGTCTTTTCTCAACATCACACTGGACTTTAAAGAACCACACGTTTTGCTTAGAGAATAACAAGATTGACTTTTCAGAACTCAGAAAAAAATCTACTCAGGCAGGTTAACCTGGCTTAACTCTTCTCAGAATTTCAGTGAAATTATGCAACAGCTTATTGCTACCACATAATACACATGACTGCCAACGATGCCAAAAATGTAGAGGGTGCTACACAAAGTTTGGTTTCAAATTGCAAGATTGTGTTTTCTCTATTTCCAGGTGGTGTACTTCACTGCCACCTTCCCATATGTAATGTTGCTAATCCTTTTGATTCGAGGACTAACTCTTCCCGGCGCCCTGGAAGGAGTCGTTTTTTATCTTCTTCCAGAACCGTCACGACTCACTGACCCTCAGGTAGGCTCTGAGGAATGAAAGATTGAAGACAGCTAGGTTTTGAGACAATTGTGTACACTTAAGTTGTTGTTGGGGCAGGTGTGGATGGAGGCAGGCGCGCAGATCTTCTTCTCCTACAGTGTTGGGGTGGGCTCTCTAATTGTGCTGGGCAGCTACAACAAAAATAATAACAACTGCTACAGGTAGAACAGCTTGTTGGTGTCAATAGGCCTTCTGCATCTCTACTGAAGTATGTTATTCATGTATCAAGTACAATGAATGTAACATTGCTCTGTTTTGTTAGGGACTGCCTCTGGCTGTGTTTCCTGAACAGTGGTACCAGTGTGGTAGCTGGGTTCGCCGTGTTCTCTGTGCTGGGATTCATGGCCCATCAGCAAGGCATTCCCATTGCAGAGGTGGCCGAGTCAGGTGCATATTTTCACATTTTCAGTCATATGAAACCTCATCTTTATGAATGTTCTGTGGGGACGTTTTTTCATTTTTTAGCAGGAACAGGAAACCTGCGTAGAGTTGATGGAAAAATGGTCGGGACTAATTTCAGGGCAATCCTCAAAGAAACTTGATTGTGACTGCAAAAACTTGGAGACTAAGCCTAAACTTCTTAGGTTAGGCTTAGTCTCCAAGCCTATCCTACTACCTATGCATTACCATAAATCATTATAGAATGTATCAAAATAACATGCTGTCTCAGTGAAAAGCTGAAACAAACCCAAAAAGACTTGCAGCTGCAACAAAGGTTTGACTCTACATATGTTTGATCAAAGGGGCCCAAACACAAACATTGTGCATGTTAGGTTTAGCATATTTTTATTTTCAAAACTAAAAATTAGAACTTTTCCCAGTTTTTCTCCCACCCCTCACAATTATTCACCAGCTGGTGTTGAACCGTGACACAAAACCCCAGTTGTTTGTGGTTGTAACGTGACAACCTTCCAAATTGATCTTACACATGAAGTTCTAAAACTTTCACTGATTCCAGGAAGCAAATGTTATTGCCCTAAACAATTAAGTTTTCTTGGAAAAAAAGAAAAAGAAAATTATGTCTGAAAAAATGTCTGTTTATTCATTGGGTAGTCCATACAATTCTGCAGTGTTGTCAGTTTGGTTTTTACCTGGTAGGGCAGTTGACGGATTAATAAAAGCATATTAAAAGGAGGAGATTATTAAATCATCACTTTGGCTTTGTGTTCCAGGTCCAGGCCTGGCATTCATCGCATACCCTCAGGCGGTGGCCATGATGCCTCTGCCCCAACTCTGGTCCATCTGTTTCTTTGTCATGCTCATCCTCTTGGGTCTGGACACACAAGTAAGCTGCCCAGGCAACTGAAGGAGGATCATAAGTATTCATCTGAAAAATGTAATTCTGTTAGTATCTTCTCTCTGCTCAGTTTGTCGCCATGGAGGTGGTGATGACGTCCATCATTGACATGTTTCCCAGAGTTATGCGACGGGCAGGACGCCGGGAGAGCTTCCTCCTGTTCTTCTGTCTGATTTGCTTCTTCTTGCAACTCGTCATGATTACCGAAGTCTGTGTTCAACGTTAAAACTTTAATGTTTTACACCTTTCAATACTGAATCGTTCTTGTACAACTGTTTTTGTCACAAGTGTGAGGTCATGATGTGTGGATAAAATCATTTTTCATAAATTTAAAATAAGAACAGGATTTTCTTTCTCTTTTGCTGTTGTTCCAAGGGAGGGATGTTTGTGTTCCAGCTGTTTGACTACTATGCATGTAATGGAGCCTGCATCCTCTTCCTCTGTGTGTTTGAAACTCTGTCAATGGGCTGGGTGTTTGGTATGTACACTGATGCTATGCATGTTTTAATTTTCAAAATTGGAAAGCTCTGATGTAGAGAGATTGTCAAAAATCCCTCTTTCCCACAATATCTACAGGAGACTAGAAGATGTTCTACTAGAAAAAGTAGAATATACAAACAAAATATTGCAGACCACCTAATTTCATATAAAAAGTATTTATCAACCTTGCTGTCTCACCACCAAAGAAAAGACAAATTGAAGGTTGAACTAATAGCAATGAAAGATTAAATCATTTGAAGTGATTTATTTTACACACCTTTAGTTAGAGTCTTAATAATTGTAAAATGTTATTTTAACATTGTAAACATATAAAAACTGAACTCTTAAATGTTACAAAATGTCTTCCAAACCAGTGCAATCCAATCTCATCAATATGTAATTATTTAGGGGCAGATCGGTTGTACGGCATCATAGAGGATATGACGGGGGTGAAGGCCAACCCTTTCTTCAAAATCTGCTGGCTTTACCTCACACCACTGGTCTCACTGGTGAGTCACCTGTCTCTCTGTCAGAGTGCTTTTGGTCACTGGATCAGATGTGAACTGTTGAAATCAGTGATTATTTATGCTTAATTTCAAACCAGAGTCTAACTAAACCAATCCTGCTTGCTCTTTCAGGGATCTTTCATATGTTCCTTAGTGGAGTATCAGCCTTTGACCTTTAATCGCTGGTATGTCTACCCATCCTGGGCTTACGTGTTGGGCTGGGTGCTGGCTCTGTCCTCCATCCTGCTTGTACCTGGGTGGGCACTTTATAAGATGATGACCGCAAGCGGCACACCTAGACAGGTGAGAAAGCATAGCAATGTTTTATTCAAATTACATTTAAGATTTTTTACTGTAAAGAAATCACAGCATTTAATTTCCAAACAGTGGAGAAATTCTGTTATGATTTGGAGAATACTAATGAAATGAAAGTCTATGTGGATCCTTAAAAAAAAGAAGATTCTCTATGGCATTGTGAATCAGAATGTCAGGTCATTTGTTCCAGAGACTAATAGGCTGAACAGTGGTTAATTTTTTTCTGAAAAACTATGATAACTTTTTGCAGATTTACCTGTAGATACTGATAACCTTAATAAAAAGCATGTTAGATAAAGGATATATCTACATTTTTATTCTGTAAAGTTACATTACAAAGTAGATTTTTTTTAAACTATGAACACTTTATGTTAAGGAATGTAGTATTTTATATCTTAATCCTGATGTGGCAAAAATCAGCACAACACAACAGCAGCATAGTCTATTAGCAAATATGTTCCTTTGAACTTACCGATGTAAATCTTCATTGTTTTTCAGCGCCTCCAGTACTTGTGCCGGCCTGCTCTAAGTGACTCATCAACTCAAATAAGAGGAGCTGAGCTGCAAAGCAAGGGTGTTGACCTGATGCAGCCATTCATGGCCAACTGACAGCAGACTGATGTACCTGGAACTCCTTAAAATTACAATTTAACATGTTAACCAGCCTCACTTGTTGCTCTCCTGTGGCGTACAACAGCCACAAATGAAATGCGCTTCGCACCATCACCTTTAGAAATAACCCACGTTTTAACAGCACTGCCTCAAACGTGTTCAAAGTAACTCAGTTTGTTTTTTTGTTTTTTTTGTGCGTATTCTTCTGAGATTTCATTCTGAACTTTCTTTTCAGATAATATTAATCTCCTGTGTCCAGTATTTAACTAATTCCGTTATCGTTTTTTTTTTTTGATGACTCAGACACATAGCTTAGTCAATGACATGACTGGAAAGAGTACAAAGATTATGTACTCAAGTAAGAGTAATAACACACTTAGCACCAACTAGTCTGAATTTACTCTAAGACTTCACATTACCTTTGACTGAGCCTCACTTCAAACATCCTGAAATATTCACTTAAATCTTAAGTTCTCTGAATCTGATCATTTAAGGGCAACATGAAAGGGGAATTCTATTTAAAGTCAGCAGAAACTTGCTTTAGTGCGTTTAAAAAAAACACAGAATTGGGATACAATTATGTATACATTTCAATAACAGCAAAACAGTATTCTTATCTATCAACATATTGTATTTCTATGTGTGATTTATTAGAGCCCACAAAGTTTTTCTTCATGAGTAGCTGAGACACGCTGTAGAAATATACACAAATACATCAGAGAAACTTTTCACAAACTCCTTTATTTAAATAGCTTACAATTCTGAAAAATTCTCCAAAAACCACTTGAAATGTTAAAACTTTGACCATCAGGCCTGCCTGTTGTATCCTCAAATAACACTTTTACTCCCAGATGATTACTGACCATTATTTAGGTAAAAACTTTTTGTATCAGTTTCTGATGCACTTATTATTAGCATTAATACTATCATTCAACAAAAGGGGACAATAGAGAAATAGCATAAATATAATTCATGTTACATCCAAACAATATTTTTTGCATTTTATGGGTTTTTATTTATTTAGTCTCAACTCTAACCTAATTCCAATACTCTTTAGTACTCGATGGAAGAAGGAGAATGAGAGTTTTAATGGTCATCCATTCATTGTTTCTAGCCGGTTACGTTATCCTTGCAACACTAACCCCCAATAAACAGTCAAACTTTCAAACTTACACTGAAAAGTGTTTTAAATTAATGAAGTAAAAGTCCAAAAACCAAAAGAAAAAACTATGAAAAAATCACAAAAAACAATCAACAGAGATGACAGCTGCTACATAAGAGTTTGGTTCATCAAATGATTTTGAAATGCTGCTCATTCATTCTGAAAAAGAGGTTAATCAAAATAATCACACATTATTTGAAGCACATTTGTAGAGTTATTATAAAAGCCTACAATACACAATGACACACAGCAAACCAAGCTCAGACTATCAACACACACACACAAATACCTGACAAGGCGCTTTGCTATAGACTACTTAAGCCACTGAGTGACAAGACACTTGGTATCTTGGAGCAAAGAAACAAACAGTGAAGTAGTTTTAACATCCAGCTGAAGCTGTTTAACAGACTGCCCACCGTCTTCATCTGTAACAAACTGACACCAACATTAGATGAAGCTGTGATTCATTTTAAAAACTAACATGGGCTAATGTTGCTTATAAAGGTTGATATTAAATTGCTTAGTTTATATTTTAGTGATGGACGGTTCTGCTTATATACTGACAGTATATCTGTGGCTTGAAATTGACACAGTAAAGAAATCAAAGCATTTTTTAAAATACCACAGAAATCCAAGCAGGTTTCCAGAATCACCTAATTTTGGCACTGCTTTTTTTTTTCTAAACAGGCACCCAAATGGGACTGTTGTCCCATTTGTTCTGAATATATTTACTTTATTCCTCTTTTTCGTGAGTTGAATTTCATGAGTTTTAAATTGGAGTTTGAAAGGATTATTTTTGAATCAGTTTCCAAAAGTCAAGTAAACTCAATAAGTTGGATTTTAAAAGCAATGCTTCACAGTCACTATATTATAATGAGTTCAGGTAATGAGCCAGGAAATACTGTGCACAGGTCTAAAAGCACATTGTGATTCATTCAGTGGTCAGGAGCAACACTTCTCCAGGATTTCAGTCACCTTTTTTCCTTTTCCACCATCAATTAAGCTTATCCAATTCTAAAGATTTACTGCAGTAGATGTGCTTTAATTACAGCACCCAAGAAGATATATACTTTTGAGGAGATTCAATGCTTTTTACCTTAGAAAAAAATAGTTAAAAAAAAAAAAACTTATTTAAGATTTCTGATCTAGACATATTTCACAATAAGTATTTCTAGCCTGTCGAATTATCCATACTCCTCAAAAAATCATTTTGATTTTAGGTTTTAAGCAAGAAGAAAATGCCAGTGAAGGTGAGTATTTAGGTAAGGCACAGCAGCCAGACTAGTTATCTCAATTTTTGAAGGCACTGTAGATTATCCTAACCAGTGGAACTGTCAGGAGACATTATGGTCACAATGCCTCGAGATCTTTCTCTGACCTCAACTTTCTCATCTTGGTTTACCTGAGATTGGTCTGAGCTGGTGTTAGAAAGGCATGAGCCTTCAGCAGCTTGTAGTATTTTTATGTTACCTAAAGAAATACTTTGTGGTTGACTGATTGGATCTGGATGTAACGGCTTCTGAGATTTGTGTGTCATGTTGAGGTTGGGATAGCTACCAGACTCTGTCATGGCCTGACACACATTTTCCCAGGCTGTGACACAGTTAAGGCTGTAGTGTGGGTTGCTCATAGCCTGGCAGAGTAAGTCTGTGTGTTGACGCAGCTGGGAAATCTCCTGGTCAGTGCTGTTGCTCTGGCGAAGCAGCTCCTTTGTACGCAGGGTAATGTCCAACAGACCCGACTGTCTGAGAAGTTCTACCGTGTTGAGGAATCGCCGATGGTGAGGACTAGTGATTTTTCTTTGACGACCTCCATCTGAGTGATCAAAAGACGCAGTGTGCATACAAGAGGAGGCTGGAGATCCTGGGTTTGTGGAAGAAACAGTGAAGGTGGAAGAGGACAAACTGTTTCTGCTTGACAAGGTACTCAACAGGACAGAGTTTGAAACTGTCTGTTGGTTATGATGATGTTCTTCCGACGGACCTATAGTAACTGAATTGTCTTCAGTCTTGCGTTCAGTGCACATCCTCTTGCTCAAATATAGGGATTCCTGGTTTGATAAAGACTTGTCAGGTGGTTTCTTGATAGGATGTGGTGCGATGCGAGGGTAAGACTTAAGAATAGGAAGGTAGGTGTTGTTTATTTTATTTCTCGTGACTCTTGAATTTTGGGACTTGAAAGGCTTGATAAGCTGAATCGATTTTGGCACAAAGCTTGGCTGATCCAGGCTGACCATTTGTGGAGAAGCAACATGGTTGCTTGTCCTCATGCTGCTTTTTACATGCAGCTGACGTCTTTTCAGGGTTGTGGCTGGCTGTTGAGAAATGAAGAAAGCAGCTATATCATTCAGGAATAAACGTGTGGTAAGAAGGCTGTACCAAACTGGTTCAAAGAACAACTGAAAACATTTTCACACATCGATTGAACTTGAATTGATAGACTTTAAAACAAAGTCTTGACCTCAAAAACAGCTTCCTATTTTTGTTACTACAGGTTTCAATATATTTTTATGTTTTCCATTTGGGTATCTGCGACTAACCCTCTTTACTAGTGTGATTACCTTGATGATGTAGATGGGTGGGTGAACCAGTTTGGTTGACTTTACAGCAGAATTTCCAGTATTTCTGCCACCATGTACTTTAGATTGACCAGTTTGTGGAGCCTCTGCATGTTCTGCCAATCTCAGTTGGTTTTTGGTGCTCCTTTGTTCCTCAATATCTGTCTGCTGCCAGTCAGAACCATCTGGGAATCAAAGAATGCAGAAAGAGGTAACAGGGTTCAAATCTTTGTCAAGAGACATCTTGGGAAAAAAAAAACTTTCAAAACTTCTGCATTTTATAAAATGCCCAGTTGTAACAAATTATATGATGAATCTGTTTTTACAATCAATTAAGTGTATTTTGTAAAGCATATTTCAGCAACACAGCAGCTCAAAGTACTTTACATTGTGAAAACATAAAAGGACATCAAAAACATCATTATTGTCAACAATTAAATATCTTGGACAATGTTGCATATATTATGGTTCAACCTCAACTCTAAACAGGTAGGTTTTTAGTCTAGCTTTAGACTGAGAGATCTGGAAGGTTGATAGAACAACAGCAGATCTTCTAATGTATTGTTTTGCTAAGCCATTCAGTGATTTATAAACTAACAACAATATTTAAAATCTACTCTTTGAGCTACAATGAGCTTGCGTAAGGATTTTTTGATCTCATTTTGAAGTTTGGAAAAGCTTATAAACGATAAAATAAATCAAAGTCTAACCTTTGATTTATGTATTAATCTTTGAATGTGAATTTGGCTTTTAATTCTGTTCGATAATTGAATCGACTTTATGACTGGATGTCTAATGTGATAGGCTAAACAAGGGTTTTAAAACACAGAAAAGAGGAAAAACTTTTGGATGACTAAGGCTCCATGAGGTCTTATCAACTTGCCAAGATCTGCTTGTGTTATACATGTTTATTTGGAGTATAAGTCCTGCAACATTTGTATGTTGTTTCCCTCCAAATACAAAATGCCCGATAGACAAAATCTGAACCAACAACCTTCCACACTGAGTTATCTTCTGGCCAGAACGTCAGTTTTGTTGAGATTTCCGGAAGATGTAGCCAACAGGAAAACATCTTTAACACAGGTTTTTTTTTATATATTGTAACCTTTTTTTGTACATTTATGTAGTTTTACATAGCTTATTAGGCTACATGCACACATTTACTGCAGACACTTTAACTCACCAGAATACCCAGAGTCTTTTTCTGAGCTGCAGCTGGAGCCTCTTCTGTTAGAATCAACTGCATGCTTCGGGTCACGTATTGCCAGCAAGGTATTGCTGTTGCTCTTATCTTTCGCATTCTTGCTTGATGGTGCACAGGGACCGTTTTCCCTGAAACAAAGCTGCTCTTTCGGCATGACGGCCCTTGAAAAAAATGTGATATTTACTACAAGATAAAACATTTCGGTTATAAGTTACTCGCAATAATATTAATATCACTGGAACTTAACCAAGTTTGCCATGTTGCAACCACAAGCTTTTATGCACTTTATTGAAATCTTAAATTATAGACCTAAGAACTGAAGTGAATAGAAGAGAAAATATCTATTTCTGTTTTTTTTTTTTTGTATTCAGGTGCCTTTACTCTGTCAATGTCCAGTGGAAATAACTGCTTTGGGAAGTTATGTATGTAGTAATTAGAAGATTTTCAGTATATCTGTTCTGTGAATATCTCTAAGGTTTGTAAGAGAATAGTTATGAAGAAATAGCATCGGGAAGACTAAGGGACACAAAAGACAAGTTGAGGTTAAATCTGTCGAGGTTTAAAGCAGTATCAATATCTCATGAAGAAATATTTAATCTATTATCTCAAAAGACATTATAGCACAGTTTCAAAGGTAAAAAAGCATGGCTATCTGACTAAACTAAGGCGCAGGGCAAGGGTGGCATTACTCAGTTGTTGTCCTCTTGTTTTAATTTGATTAATACACTTTTTCATTTTTTTTAAACATGCATTTTTTTTATTACTTTCATTCATAGCTACAGTGATGTTGAAGGTGTAACAGGTCTAAACAGAGAACAACAGCTTTTCCAAAGTTTCGACAATTACTTCCCTGTGGAACTCGTTTCATTTCAAAGCTAAAATTAAATGAAAAGCTTTCAGTTCAAAACAAACAAACAAAAAAAATACAAAAACAAATGAATTTAATCCTCTAACAGTTGGAGATGACCTGGTACCTTCCTATTATCTTTCGGTGTCGAAATACACAACAAAAATCTAATAGAATAATCAGCTGTGCAAATATTTCATCTTTACCTGTCACAGGGGATTTAAATGCGCCGTTTAATTTATCGAAGCTTTCTCCACTCGTGGTGTTATCGACATAAACAGCGGCGGTGGTTCCGTGAACGCACCACAGCTCTCTTTCCTGCCCCTGTTATGTAACATTCAACTTTAAGACCAGCCCTCTCAGACGCTTCCTTTCCTCTCATGTATAACATAAATCAACACGTTAGACAGACCGTGGCCGAAATTAAAAAGTGAAGTCAAAATATGGGCTTTGCAACCTTGTGGAAAATAACAACAACAAAAAGTTGCGGTAGAGTATTAAAAGCGTCTGTGGAAATAGGTAATGCAGCATGTCTTCTGCCAAAAGCAGGACTGAACTTACCTTCAGATGTAAAAGAGTCGATTATGTCACGATAATGGTCGTTTCCTCCTCCATCAGAAGAGTTTCACAAAGCCAGCAGCGCCATGCTGCAGCTGTTAACTGCAACACGACGGATTCACGGCATTAAATACATTTATTGTTCTTTGTTACACAGGCTGCGCCAAGTAATAAGCTCCACAAAAACGGGCTGAGATTCTGCAATATCTGTTGTCAAACGAGCGAGGCTAACAAAACAACATCCGATTACCTTCAAAATAAAATACTCAATTACATCAAACTATGGAAACAGCCGCCAGAATCTCGCGATAAAATACTATTTTTGATCATTTTTCTGTGCAGCTTATTATTACGGTCACCGGGTTTTTCGAGTCCACTGAGGAGTTCGTAAAAAAAAAAATCTGAAGGTGTCCGTCTTTTGTTTTGAAATGCAGACGCTCTTGCAGGTAGCTTGATGACACTGTTTTCACATGATGAGAAAAAGTGGCATGTTATGTCATTCGATCATGCGTGGACTAAACATTCTTATTTTAAAAAAGAAAACAAAGTGTCAGAAGCAGAACTACATCTCGGTTTTTTGTCAGTGTGCTCTCAACTAACTCCCCCAGTTTGACAACACGGCAATCAAAATAAAGACCGTTTTTACGGGAGCACGGCGCTCATTGGTCAATGAGACAACCACAACAACCAATCATATAATAGTGCACGTACTGTTGGGAGAGCTCCCCACCGTCAAGACTCAGAACTGGATTGATTTGTCATGAAATAAATATACTCTGTTCTTCGAATGTCTCTTTTTTTTTTACTTAAAGTATTGAGTTACTCTAAGTATACTGAACTGTTTTATTTATAAATGTATTATATAAAATCTGAAGAAAATTTATTTTTTTTAAAGAAAATCTGCTTATGTCAGAAATTAGTCAAAGCCAATGTACAGCATGTCACTGGCAGGAGAAACCTGTTGGCAGTTTAGAGCTTTTAGTGCCCTATGTATATAATATGCAAGACAATATAGTATTTAAAAGTTTATTTCTACAACTATTAAAGTGAAACTCATTCATTACACAAAATGATAAGGTTTTATTTCTGGTCTTTTATGTGAATGGACTGAACTTGAATTTTCAGTAAACTGGAATTGAAAAGAAATAAAAATAAATACATTTTTGAAAAACCAATTATTCACTTAGTTGAGTCCTTTCACAATATGCAGAGGCTGTAGTGCTTTTCTGTGCATTTACTCTTCAACAAAGGCCTGAAACATTGTAAAATCTTACAATGTTTTTTATCCTATAAAAGACTGTTGAACAGACAGTTGTCCAGCAGACAGTTACTGACATTCTCTATGAAGAGGCCAAAACACAAAACTCAAGGTTGCCTTTTAGAGTGCATTTAAGCATAAAAATGGAAAGTTAAGTGGAAGAAAAACATAGTGTAAAATGTACAACAGTGATAGAAGCCCCAAGAGGTTTGCATCAAGATACAGCATACAGATTTTTTCTTTTTACATAAAAATTAGTTACAATTTGGTAGAACTGTTTTCCATAAAAATGTTCTTTCCTCATGGCATGAGTCACTTTGTGTGATGTACTTGTCCATACTAGATCAAAACACATTATCGTCAGTAAGAAATAAATAAAGCCAAAAAAAAAAAATAAATAAGCTTAAGCCCAATAATGGAATGAATATTTTTTGGGTATAGCTGTATATAAATAAGGCAATACCATGACAAAACATTGCAGCAGACTTTATTTTACATTAAAAATATTTCATACAAGTTGACAGACGACCAAAATCCTCTCCACAAAAGACAAGAACACATCAGTACAATTAAAGTATTTTCTAAATTGGCTGCAAGTTATTATAAAACGAACTTTGCTACAATCTCGGCTAAATCCCAAGGAAACACCCAATTTGTTAACATTCGGCATGAAATTTCTCACACTTCTGACCCTTAATCTGCAGCTCCTTATAAAACACAAGTGCTATTAGTTCAGATTGAGCTTAGACAGAGAACTCAATGTGTCCAAGTCAGAGATGTCAACTGCAAATACTCAGCAGACCTGCAGCGTTATTCAGACCTGGGTGTCTACTGACTTGCAATGTCTTTGGGGATGAATATTTAATAAAAGTAGCAGAGGTCTCTTGGGAGCTGGCTTTGGCTGCACTACTGGCTAGAATATGCATGATCCTCAGCAGAGTAGGCTCACTGAAAAAGCAGCATAACAAGTTTAGAACAAAATGAAGTGCCATTGTCACAAGAAGTACAACAGCAAAAACAGAAGATTGACAAGTTGCACACCTGCCAACATGGATGCTGGAAGCCAGACACCATGCAGCCTCTCCCTCTGGCGTCGGACATTCCTGTAGAACTTGGCGGGCCAAGCAGAGGGCTGCGCCAGCCAGCTGCACAGGCAGAAACACCACACACTGGGCCTCCAGCAGAGAGAGTTCTAGTAGATAACGAGCCATCCACACCACCTATAGGCACAAGTGACCGCTCAGACTCCACCAGCATTGCAGCAGCAGGTGGAAAAATGACACACGATGTGGTTTTACCGTAGCGCTGCAGCGAGCAACAGAGGCAAACAGGAGGAGGAAGTGCAGCGGGGGACTGAAGGACAGATTAAACTTGAGCGCACACAAAACTTTGCGTTCCATTCGCAGAAGCTGATGCTTTGTGTAGGTGTGGTCCATCAAGCTGCAGAGTGCAGACACCTGGAAATGTCACAAAATACTTTAGAATAAAAGCTTTTCAAAAACATGCCTCAATGATTCCAATTGTCTGAGTTTTACAATGAATGAACCATTTATTCAGACATGCTAGCCAGCTCCAGTTTCTATAGTTGGGCAGGAGTGAGGCAGCGTACCTCTGGAAGGAGGCTCTCCTCTTTCTTTGCAGCAAGAAAGAGGCAAACCATGCCAAGGAGCTGGAGGTTGGCTACAGACACCTTCAGCTGTCGCAGGGAGTGGTTGAGGAGGTGTATTGCTAGGTAGAGAGTCTCTTCCTGGAACTGTAGCAACTCCTGACAGGAAGTAAGATCAGTGGTAAATTTAGATTTTGTCAAACCTGAAACCCTTTCTGCTAAATTCTTCATGCAAGAATTGGGAAGACACACAGCAAAGGACGGCTGCGATGAGAACCACAGCCTCCGCATGTATGCACATGTGTAGGGCTCCTTCACAACGCAACAGCTGAAGTTTTGAAGTCATATTTCTGATGCACTACATCTCCATAAGAACAGTGGCACAAACCAAAGTACAGAATTGCTAAACATACACTAATAATCACTTGGCAAATTATTAATATTTTCCACACACCTTCCAAATCCAGCCCACTGTTGATACATGAAACACAGTTTGGTTACTATGCCTTTAAGCTGATGTGATGGAGGTTCCCTACAATGATTTTTATGCTGACAAAGAAAACCACCACTCACATGAACCTGAATGATCCACTCTACTAGGATAGCTCGAGTAGCATCAGTGAAATGGCGAGGGAGATCAGCATTGGGAAAGGAGTATTGCATCTGAGTTCTCTACAGTGTGTGGAGGGGAGAAGCAAAACAGGAAAAAAAACATCTTTTAATGAAGCAGTTGCTGTTCAGCAAATCGTTGCAGCCCTCATGTTTCTCACCATCATGTCCAAGAACATGTCCCAGGCATACGTTCGATCCCAAATAAGGTCCAGATTCTCAAGTGCCATCTCGACTTCATGTCTCAGTAAGCTGGGAACCAGGGTGTGTAGGCTGTGAAGCCCCTGCATGCCATGCGGGTAGAGGAGCACCGGAGCCTCCACACAGCCATCTGCTGCACAGGGAGAAAAAGACCATCTTAAAGCCATTTCATTTTTAAACAAAAATAGCAAAATCCTATTATTAGGAGCCTTTGGCTGCTCACTTTTAATTTGCAATTAAAAGTGTAAATTGCCCACTTAAATCACAACTTTTTACAGAACCAGAAAACATACTGCTAGAATCATGCTCCCCCCATTACTTATTTGTAGTGCACAAACATCTCAAAGTGGACAGACGAGGAAGTGCCTAAAACCTGAAGACACTACCAGCCTTGCATGTCCTGCTGTCCTCATGGAAACCCATGATGAAGACGTCACTGGTATGCGTTGATGACCTCCTTTCCTGTAGGAAAGACACATTCAGAAGTTGGGCTGCTTAGATATCCAAGCTGTCAGCTTGTTTGGATCAAAGCACAAGGTGAGTGGGAGAAGAGTGAAACAAATGAGCCGCTTTAGGATGAAGGTGGTAAACGGGACAGCAGGCCTACCCATCTGCGCTCTGGGTCCATTTTGACAGGGGCTGTTCTGGACTCCTCCACTTCTACAGGCTGACAGCGATCTATAGGCCCACAGGCATTAGCCCAAGTTCTTAGTGGGGCTCTCCGCTCATCTGCCTGAGGGGACAACAGATTGCCTCTGCTCACACATGCAGAGGATCATGGATCATGGACATTTCTTTAAATGCCTACCACCTTGCAGCTTTTGCAGTATGTTTGCTGAAATTTATGTTGGTTTCTGCTCTGGCCATATTAATCAGAGACTCTCTAACACCTGAGATCAACTAAACAAAAGTTGTTGTTTTTTCTCCCTTTTCATTTAAAAATGAACCCATGTAAGCTTGGATTTCACCCAAATGGAAAAAGAAAGCCACATACATTTAGAAAGTTATATTTCCTTCCTTTTCCTGCCATATTGAAGACTGCTAAGCTTATAGTCCATATAGAAAACGACCTCAAGTGGGTTGTATTCATAGCGATTGGCAAATTACATCCGATGACGCCATGAGATTTGGATCTGATGAGCACACGGTGCTCACCTTCTTGTGTAAGTCCAACAGGGCCTTGGAGTCACAGAACCCGGTCCTGGCCATAGTGACAGCCGGAGACAGGAGTCCTCGTGTCGGGGCCGCTGCAGCTACTTACAGCGGAGTTCAGCGGGGCCTGACCGGAGGATGGAGCCGCGCTGACCGGAGCCACGCTAATAAACACAGCTGGAAGGAAGACACTGATTGGCTGCAAACATCCGGTGGGTTTAAGACAAGCGATCATTTATTAAAGAATTGACGCTTCTTAAAGTATAATCTGCATCCTCCACAAAGTACTTGTGTTAATATAAATGTATATAGCCTATATATTTTTGCCCTTTCAGAAAATGCGATCATTTCCATTTCTTTTTTTTTCTAGCATTGTCTTTCGAGTATGTCACCTTGTATCCCCCCTTTATTTGCATTATTCGACTTAAGTTCACCCCTCCACAGAAATCATGTAAGTGCAAAAATTTAATTGGGATAATCAACATTTGCTTAGTAGAAAGTAAAATACAAGATGGTGTAAAAAGATTTTCCATCCACATTGACATTCATGACTCAGGTTAATGCACCACCAGATTTCCATAGAAATCGATGATCCTCCTTATCCGCCTATTTCGATTACTTTTTGTCTTTGCAGATTTTTTCACCAGACTTCTTTCAGGTATTAAATTGCGCCACCTACTGCTTGTCTTGTGCAGTAGGCTATGTCAATTTGTACCCATCAGAGGGACGTTTCATTCTAACTTTTGACATCTGACCGGTAATTTTCTGATACTCATTGTTTACTCTAAAGAATGTATGACCCCAATGAAGAACTCAGTCTTGGCAAGCGGTCGCTCGTACTGAGCCAGGTTTTTCTGGACATTTCTTATTAAATGGGAGTTTATCCTCTATTGTCACTGCGTGATTGGTATGAGGGTTTACTCTGAAGGTAACAATGCAACCAGTTGTCTACTACTGTCACTTCATGCTCATCCAGGAGGGCTGTATTATACAAGTCAATGACTCTATGCAATCTGATGGACTTCTTTAGAAAACATTGGAAGCTATTTTGAAGAATAAATGGAACTTGATGCAGTTTGATAACTAGGATCAGGTGGAATGCGACTGAATTGAACAAACCTTTTATAAAAAGCCATAGGGTAACTTTTGTTGTGAATTGGCACTCAACTGAAATTAACCTCTAGAAGCAGATCGCTTCATTAATTAGTCATAATCAGTCTGATTTTGATAGTCAACTGACACAACAGGCATCAGAACCAAAACAAGGGCGATATTTTTTTCAGAAAACATTTTACCACTTGCATTAAATGAGACTGGATTATTTTCAAGATTCCTCAAATGCCATTTGTGAAAAACAGAAAATACACTTGGTGAAAGATTGGAGATTGTAGTTTTTGTAATTTAATAGCATTTAAAGTGAAACATATTTCTCATTAAGTGAAAGCAGAGAATAAACGACAGACACAGGTTTGATCAGTAAAAAGGTTTACTGGCACATTATAGTTGCAAATATAAGCTACCATACTGTAGCAGGTATCACCCGTTACATTGTAAAGTCTTAAAAGGGGGGTGGGAATTCTGGCTAGGACAGCGTCCTCCCTTTAAAGATTGTTGTTGTTGTTTTTTTTTTTTTTCATTGCCCTCTGAGCATCAATTAAAAAAAAAAAAAAAAAAAAAAAAAAGAAATAAAATGTCTCTGTAACACCAGAATCAGGTATGACATTCCTGACCGTTGATCACATTCAGATATACAGAGAAACATGTGAACCATGGTAAAGCTGCAAATCAAACACTACAAAGCTACAGGCCTCCCCTTCTACTAATGCTGCATTCACCAACAAGCTCCTTTTTATTTATTTTTTTATGATCTTTTTTTGGTATTTACACAGTAATGAAGAGGCACTTGTTGTGCCAGTGTACGCCTACAGGAGAGGTCAGGGGTGTTCACTTGCATGTTCAGCTGTGAAGCATTGCTTAAAGCGTGGCCAACAGAGAGGTTCAATCTATGGCTTCACCACCAAGTTTAAAAAGTCCGGCAGCATCCCCTTGTGGCCATGATAGCAATGAAGGCAAATCCACAGTGGAGTCCATCAGTGCAATGGTTCTGATATTGGGCCCTGCCAAAGCAGGACTCCAGGACAGAGTATGATGACTGTGCCTGAGCCAGTGAGAAGAGGTGCTGGAGTTGTTTCAGCGTACATCAAAGCCATTTGATCACGGTATTGTCTGCAGGAACTGAGGCCACCCCATGGTCTTTTGCTGTGTTGAAAAGCTGCTGTTTTTTTTTTTTTTGTGTTGTTTTTCTTTTCCTGTGTTTGAATCACTACGTTCACTCAAGCATCTAAACAGGCACACTCTTTCACTCAATCAGGCACACAAACTTAAAGTCACCAACAAACAAGCACAATAAAAACTAACTCAAATAAAAATCACACAATCATAAATTAATGTGACAAGAGAGATATCTTAGAGGACGCTAATTTGTTCATGCGAAACCTTCAAACACGTTAAGTAGTCAATGTTCTGCAATATCTGTAGGAAAAGCATTGAAAGGACAGTTTTCTCATTGTCAGTGCCACTGAGTTTACGACTAGCTGCTGCTGTTCTTAACTCAAATACTATCAGGAAAAAATTAAGGATTTATGAGGTTTGGAAAATTTAGGGCAGTTTGTTAATACCTATGCCTTAAGAATGTAAGGTAACATAAGCAGAATATAAATTACAATTTTTCCATTCCAATGTACATTTTTAAATTGTAATTTAAAAGGGCTTTTTGGCTAAATATGGACCTAAACTATCATTTCTCTAATGGTGTCCCTTGAAGTTAAAAAGTTAAAGAGCTTAAGAAAAACAAAAACATAAAGAAAGCAGTTCAAAAAAACTTTAATATATTCATATTTTATATAATGTACTTAAAACCAGACAATCTGTCTTGCAAAATTTGAGAAATAGATGGACAAAAAGGGAGAAAAACTCAACAAACAAAAACAGGAAACAGAAAAAAAAAAGATGTTTTGATGTTCTTTTGTCACGACTTAAAAGAATAAAGCGAGATCTCTTCCAGCATCACGACATAAGTTTGAGTCAGCTACTCTCAATCATGTGCCTTCACGTCTAAAAGTATGCAGGTTTTCTTTTGAAACTAATACAGCTGATGTTTGGGGAGTTCCTCCTTTTTACAGATGAATTAAAGGCAGGCCCAACAGGTCACAGCGTTGCTTCAAACATACAACTACATACATTTTAAGTGTTTGGACACTTAAGGAAACAAATCAGGTTCTAAATGTGAAATGTCAAATCAAATCAAGAGATAAATGTCCGAAGTCACTTTGAATGATTTTGATTTTTTTAATTTTTTTTTTTTTTTTAATGAAAAGAGCAATTAAAAGTGAGGTTTAAAAATACTTCAAGACGTTGCACTGATATCAAAAAAAATATATTGCTGAATATCCATCTCAGCAAGGGAGGACGTTTTACACAACAAAAGACATAATAAATGTCTTTTATTCTTTATTAAAACAGGACATTTTCTGGACAGGTCCAGGAAAACTGGGGCCAGAGTTTTATTCAGTCTTTATCAATATGTACACATGGAGAAACTAGCCTGGATCTACTTTCTACAAAACCAGAATCTGGAATCTGAGTTTTCAAACCTGGACTCCATGTGAATGAGCGCTGCATCACAACGAATGCAGTTTTTGACAGCAAAGGTAAGCCATGCAATAAGGTCTGTTTGTTTATCTTGACTGAGACAATTGAACAGCCAGCAATCAGAACAGCAATCTTAAACTACACGGCTTCAAAATGAAAAACAGCCCACTGAGTGTGTTGCGTAGTGTCCTCTCTCGCCCATGTTCCAGCAAAACGTTTAGTTTAAAAACATGCATAAAAACGACACAAATGGATGGCTGACGATTCAAACTGTTGTTCACTCGTTCCTCTTGCGCGCTCTCTGCACACGCATACATTCATATCCTCTCGCCCATCCGCATATACACCCTGTGCAGTGCAAACACCGTAATGGCAACTCTCCTCATCGTCCCCCGTGTCTTTGTCCCCCCCCAACCCCCGCCGTAGGAAACCCCTACACTTGATTTGTAACAGCAAGTTCCAGAAAGGGCACTTGTTTTTTTTTTTTTTTATCAAGAAAAAAAAGAAAATTTGTAATATGGCTTTACATTTAAAACCGTAACTGATAAAAAAAATAATAAAAATAAATTGTTTTCCCCTCCCTCAAATATTTTTCACTTTCCAAATTCAAATGACACTTTTTCAAATTCTACCAAGTTTGTTGATGTAAATATGTAGTTTAAGCATGGGTCATTTGTTGTGTGTGTGTGTGAGAACCTTGGGTACAGCTGGTAAAAATGAGGGACTTTGCTGGCATAACCTGGTTTGAAGTGTAAAGGCTTTGATGTGGTGCTGCAGAGGTCCAGCAGGACGTGCAGAGACAAAGCTGCCAGTCTATTCAAACAAACCTGCTGAGCTCGGTCAGGCATGGGCCGTGTGTTGAATTCATACTTTACAAACTAATATTTTTTTCTCTATGATTTACCTTTAATTGTGTCAAAGACAGAATGAAAAATGTGCCTTGTGCCACTTCTTTTTTTTTTTTTTGTTTTGTGTCATTTTTTTATTCCTCACCAGTGCAAGGGTGCATTTGGGATTGGGATTGTGTGCCAGCCTGCCTGCTTGTTCGTGAGTCTTAGTGATCATTCCCGTATGCTGGCAGAGTATGAGAACTGAGGGAAGTGTGTACGCTGATCTGAATCCTCAACATCTAAGCTGTCATCTGGAGTGTACACAGAGAGAGAGAGAGAAGTAGAGAGAGAGAGAGCGAGGCAGAGGAGAGAAACATTGGAAGTTAAAAACCAGATGTAAAAGATCAGAGTTACACTCAGAAATTCAAAGTATATTTGCTTACACTTGTCTGGAGGAGTTATTGTAATAGATTGTGCTGTGAACTCATCATCGAAGTAACGGGTGTCTGTCTCTGATGTTACTTGGGGCTTGAAGGGTGGGATAAGCTGAGAACATAGACAAAAAGAAAAAAAAGAATCACTTTACAAACCGCTCGTCTTGTGTTAAATATCACATTATGTATTTCTGTTTCAATCCTCTCACTTTTTTTTCAATCACGTCCTGCCAGTTTATCAAGGCAAAGAACTTGTGGGTCATTACATCTTTGGCATCGTCTGGTCCACCTCCAAGCCTGTTAAAGGAAAACAACATGACTATCACCACGTATGTGCCAGCTATAAATAAACACGCAAACGTGGCTATCAGAAACGAGCAGCGAGCGACGCTGACCAGTTTCAAAACAAATTTACTGCGTGTTTTTTAGTAAGCCTGCAGGCACAGCTCGGGGTGCTAATATTAGCAGTTCTCCTGCAACTGGCAGAAACATGGGGACTTGATCAAAACAACAATCAATTATGTGCCTGCTTAAAACCATTACCCAGAACCAAAAACAATCAGCCAGGTACATGGGCTGCAATAACATTATTACTTTGTTTGTAGCTGAGCTGCCAAGCACACTCAGCAAAGCATTAACTGCAGCAAAGTGTCAAACCCAAATAAAGAACATTTTCTGAGGCTTTGCAGCGCTTTCTTTGGGAGATTAATCTATCAGCAGATGAACAAGCACAAACAGAAAATCTAATTTTATTCTTACATTTTTAAATCACCAAATCCCGACATGAACATTTACTCCTCCTTAAAGAGTAACAAAAGTCCAACAAAAGAAATGATAACACATGGAGACAGAATTTTAAATGATAAAATAGACTAGTAAAAAGCATTTTCAAATAAAAATAAAACATTTGCTTTATGCCTGGTTTCCTGTAGAACATTGGATCTTAACACAGTGGCACAAGCACCAATGGCTTGAATTGGTCAACCTTTACTGCTGTTCAAAAGGAGTTATCAATGTCTATTATGTCTGAGTTTGGTACAGACATGCGCTGGTGTTTACATGAGGTGTGTTTCCACTGCAAGATCCTGTTTCAAGAGTAATTCAATGTTTTTCTTACATTCAAATTTCATAATAAAGTCAGTTTTTCAAACTTTCCTGAAAATTTCTCAGATGTGGTTTGTTGTACAGACTACAATTATTAAAATCTGTGAATGTACCAAATTTAAAGGGACTCTTCCAACATTTCAAAGTGTCAAAGTGAAATGAAAACAATAAATGGAGATTTTGACAATAGAACTTTTAATCCTTTTAATGTGACGCTGAAAAGGAGTGCGGTGAATGCGCGGGGTTTCTGAAACCATCCACAAAAACCTTGCATAAGCGCATGTGGGATCAGTGCGACCTGTCGGCCCAAAAGACCGAGTCTCACAAACGGAGCTGATTCTTTTTTCTTCTCTACTCAAAAAGCATAAGAACAGGAAGTCTACAGCAGTTATGCATTTCAAAAAAGATGAAAGGTGTCTTTAAAAGATGTGGAGTGGAATAGCTGGAACAAAATTGATCAGGTAGAGATTTATTGTTGAAAATTACGGCTTTTTTCATCACATTCGGAGCCTTTCTAATTACATGATTCGTCATTACTTTTAGTGACAAACTACTTAAGAGCCTCTCAGTGAAGTGGAAAACCTAATAATTCAGATGTTACATGTCTTAAAAAATTTGGTAACACTTCCAAAGCTATAGCTTTCTTTAAGCATGTGCTTTATTTAGATCAAAGCACAAAAACAATTAGTCTTCCTGTAACACACACTTATAAATGGTTGCAATAGCTTAGTTTTAAATCATACCTGCAAAATGTCCTTTATTTGTTAGTATTTGTGATGAGTTATAAACTACAGTAAATTAGATCACCAACCTTTGTTTGGGATCTTTTTTCAGCAGGCCTGCCAGCAGGGCCTTGCCCTCCGGCGCCAGGGTCTTCGGGAAGCGGATCTCCTCCATGAGGATGAGTTCAAACAGACGCTCGTGGTCCTGGTTGTAGAATGGCAACCGACCACACATCATCTCATACATCACCACTCCCAGTCCCCACCAGTCCACGGCGCGGCCATAGTCGTTGTCCTCCAGTACCTGATGGAGGGCAGAAAAAAAGGAACATTGAATTATGAAAGAAAACAACCTTTAAAAAAAAGGAAGTAGCCATGAGGACCTTTTGTTCTCTGCTTATGTTGCCACTTTAAATATAATCGCTTCACATAAAGTTAAAGAGCAAATCTTAATCATTTAAAAATAGACATACACATGAATGCTAACTACTAACAGTTTATGATGCCTCACAAAGCAAAATATATATATATATATTTTTTTTAAAGACAGTAATACAAGACACAAATGGGCTTAAATGATATGATGTTTACTCAGTGTTACTCTATATGTAGCATTTCCCTCTTTTTTGGCTTTGAAGGTGTAATTTTTTAAACGTCACCCTACCAACACGTTTCTGTGTCTTTTCTGAGCACAAGAATGATGAAGACTTTACCTCTGGCGCCAGGTACTCTGGAGTTCCACAGAAGGTTTTCATGGTGGCACCGTCTGTAATTCCCTCCTTACACAGCCCAAAGTCTGTTATCTTTATGTGGCCGTCTTTGTCCAACATCAGGTTCTCCAGCTGCGCATGAAAAGATCCAATTTAAGGTTAAATCACTACAGCAGTATGACTGGCAGAGAAATGGAAAACCTAGAGAAAGCTTTTCTCCTGCAGTATGTATATCTGTTTCTCTGAAGGCTGATTTGCTGTTTCTGATTTGACTTTCTGAGGACTATAACACTTGAGAGAAGGTATATGCTGAAGGTTCTTTGATTCTAACAGAAAATTAAGGAGATGCAGGACTATTCCTAGAAGAAAAGCATATTTCCTTAACATACTCTACAAAATAAAACTACACAACTGTATCTAAAAGCTTATGCTGGAAATGGGCCTGAGTCCCAATAAGGCTTATTTTATATGAAGAAAGATAAAATAAGCAAACATAATGAGTTGATATTTATTGCCTGAAACTTGACTGTTTCAGATATTGCTCAAAGTTCAAACTGAAAGAGGAATAACTGAGCTTCAGCTTAAAATGCTGTGGTTTCACACTGCAAAAAAAAAAAAAAAAAAACTCTCTCCCACTTGAAACTCAACAGCAGTCCAACTCACTCTGAACAGTTTACATCTGTTTATCACAATCTGTGCATTATTAAATCAAGAAGCGAATTACCTTTAAGTCCCTGTAAACGACATTGCGTGAGTGTAGATACTCCAGTGCTGATACTATTTCTGCACCATAGAACCTTGCTCTATCTTCTGTGAATATTCTGTCCCGGGATAAGTGAAAGAAGAGCTGCAAGAGAAACAACAATTTGAAAAATAACAATCTACAAGTCAAATGTCAGAATAAGCTATTCAACATTTAATACAGTCTTAAAAACTTAAAAACAGTAAAGCAAACACAACATTTGCAATTTTTTTACAACTGAATTTTAAAGCTGACTATACTTTTCATTTCAACCTCCACAACAGTAATATAGAGATATGATAACGAAAGGCAGAAAAAGAAACCTTACTTCTCCTCCATTTGCATACTCCATCACGAAGCATAGCCGGTCATGTGTTTGAAATGCATATTTTAGTGTCTGAAGAAGAGAGGAAAATGCATGACTGGGTTTGAAGGATAAAACAGTGTAATGCTTACAAACAGCTCAAGTACAGGTGACCCACCGTTAGAAAAGGATGCCGTGTGTTTTGGAGAACTCTGCTCTCTGTAACTGTGTGAGCCACCTCATCCTACATGAACACACACACACGATTTTGGTCCATGTGGTGACAGAAAAACAACATACTACTTCTCCAACACAGTTTAAAATAAAGGCTTTAATGTGATAGGATTTACTTTAGCAATGATGACTTCTTTGCGGAGGATTTTCATGGCGTAGTACATCCCTGTAGCTTTCTCCTTAACCAAAATCACTTTTCCAAACGTCCCTTTGCCCAGCAGCTTCAGGTAGTCAAAGTCACTCATAGTCTGGAGGAGAAAAGATGTTTGTGTTTACCGTCCAGCTAGCCTGAACTACTTTCTGTTTTTTAATGTATTTTCAACCAGACTCAATAAACTGGACATTATCTCAAACACTGGATGATGTCCGATGGATCTAGTTGTGTGCTAGAATGTTTTCTTCATTCTGATATAGTGGGATATGTTTGCATTGGATGCAACAGTTACAGAATACAATTTGAGTAAAGGTTAGTAGAAAGGGAGATTAAGTAATATTTAACAAAAGGCATAGAGCTAAGACAATCAGTCCACAAATAAAATCTATAAAGCCAAAGTCAATTTTAGATCAATAATCAATGCAAAAAAAAAAAAAAGCTAAAACATTTTACTCCTCTTTTATTTAAAGAATGTCCCCACCAGCACCAAAAAAGGCTTTGAGAAAGAGGCTTACAGTTTGAACAACTTGCTCAATAAAGATGAGCTTAGCTGGACAAACACAGCAAGCGATTGGCTGCCAGGCACTGCTTGAGCAAATACTAACCACTTTTGAACGGGATTTGCACATAGCAATCTCCATCTCCTCTGCGCCGCTGCTGTCGCTGGGCGAGCCAAATTTGATCTCCATGGGCTCCTCATCTTGCTGCTGACTCTTCAGGCTGTTTGCTACTGTCTGGATCACCTGCATCCATTCCTCCCTGACCCGGAAGGAAGCAGATATCGTCCTCGTCAAATCGAATCTCATCCCATGTCTAAATGACTCAGTGAAATGAAATCAATTGACTGTGTTTGACATACTTTCAAAACATCTTTAGTGAGATGAATGTTAAGCAAAACTGTCCAAAATTCAGGGCTAAAATGTGATCAATCAACCTAAGTTTAGAGGATAATCTTTGTGTTTTTCAGCACGGAGCCGCTGGGATTTTCTACCCAATAACAATTTCTTCTGTTGGAGTTAAATAATCAGGTCTAATCTGGCACTGAATCCTATTTTAAGCAGGATGGATGTTCCTACTTTCATAAACTATAAGGATTTATCTCTACATAACAAAAACCACTTCAGTGTGTTTAAATTTGCTCTGTCTTTCTCTTTACTTCCTTTAAAAGAAGTCAAAGTCATCAACAATCAAACATGTTAAACATAGTGCTGCAATGACACTGTAAACATGTGGTTTACGTTCTCATACATGTGGTGAGGAGCTCTGAAATGATGTTTGTTGGCTGTGTGTAATAACAGGCCGTCTAGTCGACATCCCTACAAATGTTTCACAGAGCTGATGTTTCCTTCTTCAAATGATTTCAGCTGACATATATTTTTATATGTGAATTAATAACATGCAAATATTTGGCTTGTGTTTCAGCATAACCGGTTTCAGTTTCAATTCACCACAGAAATAGAAGAAATGTTTTTATATTTAAAATATATTTTTCCTCGCTGGTTCAGTGTGGTTATTTTTTTTGCATTTGTGAACTGGATTTTTAGTAAAGAATTTTTTTTTTTACCCATTTCATTAAGGTCAAATTTATGACAAGTCTTACCTCTCGCTGTTGGTCTCCACATGGAAAGTCCGCTCTATGACGGTGGTCCATTGCAGACATCGAATTACAAATGTGTTGGGCTTTGGGCGCTCCGTCTTCATCAGCTGGCACTCTACAGAGCACAGACACATCAGACACTCCAGACAAAACATGAAAACACAACGGCAGCTGGGCGCGAAGCCAACCTGCGACGGAGAAGTTGTTGAGCGGTGGGAGGCTGAGGTCACTGGACACCTCCGGCTTGTCTTTGTATCCAATAAAGGATCCATCACTTTTCAGGATGAAGTAGCGAGGTCGCCATGTTTTGATATATTCACCTGGACAACAAACCACGAGATTGTGAGTCAGCGTTTCACCACTTCTTCTTTTGATATTTCTTTATTGAAGGACAGTTTGGACTTGAGAGTGAAGTTCCATGAAAGTATCAATCATAGTTTACTCATCTCTAATGGAACAATGTCTTACAGCCATTAACTTTTTTTTTTTTTTTAAAGTGAATAACTATTCAAAAGAGTGTAAGGACAACAGCTAGTCAGAAGAACCAACCATTTTAGTATCTTAAAAATGTTTCTCCATGGGATACATTACTGCGTCAGTTCCTCCAGGAAGTTGCGGCATCGTGATTCCAGCTATTACTGCTGCTTTACTCATAATTAGCAAATTTTCCACAAATCTGAAAATCACGTTAATGCTTCCCATATTCTCTGATGAATTTTGACCAATCCCTGAGACTCCTTAACGTTCTGTCTCACAATGTCTCTTGAAAGCTGAGCCAGCAATAAGAAAGCGTTTTTTATGGTACACTGTAACGGTTTTTTTTTGCAAAAATACTATGTAAACTTATTTTGTTAATGTCATTGGGCAATATGCAATTATTTGTTAACACTTTAACAGCTCCTCAGGATGTAATTTCATTGATATTAATGGTGCGATGTATACAAGATAATTGAAAACGTTATTTGCACTTAAAATTTAAATTATGTTAAGATACTGTCTTTTTGTGTGTGACCATATTATGGCAAAAATTAAGCTAGAAAATGTGACATTTTGATAGCGACTTTTTGAAAAAAGTGCTGCAAAATCGTGATTATAAAAATACATCTCAACATCCTGGAAGGCTACAGAAGGAATATTAACTGTTCCAGTCTCTCTAAAAAAATAGAAGTATTTAAGCCGAAAACATCCATCTTGTCATAGAAGGTCACGACTGACAGCTGATGGTTGAATCAGTTTGAGTGATCAGTGGATTAATTCATCTAGATATTTCCAACCCTACTAAGAAGCATAGGGCTTTATTTTCCAAGAGGTTAGGTAACTGAAGCTACTACCTTCACAAAATTTCTCTTAAAAAATTTTGAGAAGTATCCCTTTAAGTTTGGAGTTTTTAAATGGTGGGATCCCTCCTTGTTTCAGCACAATTAACAAGTCAAGTCAGCATTTCCATGGGGAAAGGACGGGGTTCGACAAGGCAAGTCTGCATAGCCCACTTCATATTAGTTCCCCATCTTATATTGAGTGGTGTGGAAGAAATTTATTTTTCTGGAAAATGAAACTTTACTCTTGGGATGAGAGTCATAATGACATATTATATATGCCCCAGTACACTGTGTGCCATGAAGTTTACTGACAAATATTGTGAACCCATCAATGATGCCAACAGACGGAGAAGAAACTGTGAAATATAAAGATAGACAGCGTACTGTTAAAAGAGTTATACTACATTGTAAGGAGAACATTGTAAAGAGACAGCATTGCTTTTTGTGTCTGACAGCTCAAACATTAAAGCTGAAAAACAGCCTTTTAATAATGAATACCACAAGCAGAAAAATAACTTCAAAAAATAGCTTTAGTTTGGCACTGAGCTACCAAATCGTGATGGTGGGATCCCATCACAGTTTGGAACTAATGAAGCAGGCTTAATATTTCACACATGAACTACACTGTCATTGACTGTTTGGCAATCTATAGTTTGTTTTTAACATATGCATGTTGAAAATGGACCCAATGCACCCATCAGTACTCATAAATATAAAGTTTCACACATTTGTTGAAGTTTTTTTTAACACAAAATTAGCAAAAATATTTAAAAAGGTTTTCCTTCCCTTTTTGTTATAATAAAGGCTAATGGAGCTTTTTCATAATTTTACTGTTACGGTATTAATAGTCAGGCTTAGTTCTTGATTGTATCTTGGAAACAACACAATCCACAGGACAAAACAGATCAAGGAATTGTTGAAACTCATCACGAAAAAAATTGCAAGAAACTTAAAGAAAGCTAAATGGCAAAACATATAAAATTTTATAGTCCTTTTAAAGTCATATCGATCACTAAAAACACTCTACACTCGTTACATTCACCCAAATCCACTCACTAATATGCCCAACTCCAGCAAAAAAATTGTTTCTCAATAGCACAGGCTCCAGACTCTCTGTATGAATGGAAGTGAAGAACAAGGAGCTGGTTTTCATTAGGCTACTATTTCATGCCATATATAACACATATGACTTCCATTATATTTTGCTACTGTATATTCAAATATTTTATGATGGACACAAAGAGCCTCTCACCTCTCTTGTGGAGCCATCCTTCTTTAACAACAGTGACTTCATCCATGCTGGGGCAGAAGACTGTTGGGGTAGGTAGGGGGCTGCAGGGAAGCTGATGGGAACTGGTCTTATTAGGCAAGTGTCTCACAGTAGCTTAAGATTTTATGATACAACACCTGGAGGACAAAACAAAAAACAAAAACAAAAAAACAAGACTTGTGAAGAAAAACAAACTGTTGATTAAAAAAAAGCATCTTATAAAGAGATTAGGAGAGCACTCTACACATGTATTTGTAGTCGACATTAGAAAACCTAACAGAAAACATAGCCACGGGCCATAGAGACAAACAAGAGAAGAGAAAAACAAACAAAACCCAGAACCCAAAAGAAGTAAAACTACAACCTTTGAGACAAAGGTTAAGACATAAAGTGAAAGCAATGTATGAAGGCAGCATATTTTCTCTCACATGTCTCTGAGAGCTGTCAACATAGCCAACCTACTTAGAAAATAAATCACCTTCTTAAGCATTCTGGTGTCCTGAAATACAACTCCACAACACTGAAAACTGCTGAAATTTGCACACCATCATCATAAACCAGTCGGGTTGATCATGCAAAGCTGCATATCGTAACCTTGATCTTCTAACCTTTATGGTATATCTACAAAAAAAAAAAAAAAAAAACATGGCTGTTTTTAAATTCCAGTGGTGCCATGTAAACCTTATAAGGTGCTCCAAGTCAATGATCAAACAGAGGGAAAGATACAAAGCTCTTCATTTAAAATGCAACGGTCATCTTTTTTGATTCTGGTAAATGTTAGTGGACAGCCCCAGATCCAGGATCAGCCCAGAATCAACAGCTTAAGTTAGATAATAGGTTTACCAGAATTTCAGGGAAATTCAGTGAAAATTACAGAGCTGAGTGTTTGTAGCTGATACAATAACAGAAATTGCTTTACAGAGCTAAACACAGACATGAGAAAACACATTAGAAAATATGTAGAGTGGTACAGTGAAGAACGTCATAAATAAAGACAACAACAAAAGCCCAATATAATACAAAAGACAGTATGTTAGGTTTCAAAACATTTTTAGTAGTAATAGGAAAAACTTCATGCAAACATGAAAATATTGAAATCCAAAACTAATCACACATGTCAACATATTGCTTGTTGCCTTTTGGTAACCAATGTTGAAATAAAATAACTATTAAAATCACCTAAAAGCCATACTGAGCAGACACGTTTTTAGATTTCTTTTTTAAAACATACAGCCTCAAAGGCTGTTTGAACTGCTTTGTTTACCAAGATAAAAACAGATAAGGCTTCTCTCGACTTCAGACCTTTTATAGCTCCCCATAGTTATCTACGCTGTGAGTGCACAGAGTACTACTAGGTAATTGCTTTTTGAGATAGTAAATAAGAAAGCTAACCTTTCACTGTAAACAGGTTTGTCCTCGCAATGAAAAAAAAAACACACACACACGACAGTTGCTTAAGTTTACGCAATTTTGTTTTGCGGCTTTAAAACCCACAACTGAGCAGAGAAAGACACTGAACACAGATAGACAGCAAATAATGCGTGAAACTACCTTTAATACAAAAGCCATACATTACTACAATCAGCCCACTGTAATACAGTAACGTAAACACAGCCACAGCGTTGGAGGGTGGTAGCTAGCTAACATAGTCACCAAGCTTCCAGCTTTTAATGTGCGTTTTACAGCTTTATATGACTAATATAACTTTAAATATATTTCAAACAACATAAAAAAAATGCCGGCAAAGACCAGGGCACTGACCAAGGGCGCATTAAGATCAAACAAGGCATCTAGCCAAAACATATTTTTTTAAGCTAACAGCTAGTTAGCATGTTAGCCACCTGCGCTAGTTCTCATTAATATCTATCCTTACCTCGACTTCGGAGGCAAAAAATATCCGCAACCGTGGCTTTCCGAAGAACCTCTGAGCTAAGCTGCACGATGCGCCGACAAGTTACGGTTGGGAGCTTGTGTGTACTGAACTCTGTCAATGATCACACAGCTTTAGCGCACTGCTCACCGAGCTTGTTTTCTTCTCTCGCAGCGGCGCAGACGGGCAGGAGCGGCGGCGTGCTCGGTCAGAAGCTGCGGCACTCTTTTACCTAAGCAAGCAGAGTGGTGTATAAAGTCCACTCGAGTGGGAAACGAGTTCCTTATTGATGGCCGAACCGAGTTTGTAACTTAAGACAAACAAGCCGCTTCTCTCTACGGGTTTAATGCGGTTAGTCGCTTGCTTAGCATAGAAGCCCTCCGTCTGAGTGTCACTACAACAGCCCTGCAGACGCACACAATGGGAAGTGACGTCCAGCAAGCAGAGGGTCCACTGTACCTGAACGGTCGGTGTGAAAGTACACCACGTACTGCAGTGTGACCTTAACCTCAAGCCGTCTATGCAAAGCTGGAGCAGATTTTCTGACACATTGGCTGGAAAAAAATAATAATATAAAGAAAACCCAACAATCTAATATTTAACATGGGCTGTCATTTCTTTTCCTTTCTATGTAATATAAAATGTTTGTGAAATAAATACAGATGCAGTGTATTTTTATTTCATTATTTTATTAAAAATTGCTTAAAAAGTGCAGATTATATCAAATAAGCTATTTCGCTCAGACGGCTTTATTTTGCCGTCTTTGTTGCTTCCTTTGCAGGTAGCGAGCTCGAGCCTCGCTGACTGTGGCCTCATTGTTGCGTTTCTCCAGTTTCTTCATGACATCTTCAGCAGAAGCCTCTGTGGAAGGACACATTAATTATTCAGAATTACTTTTTTAGACAAAAACACGTTACTGAAACAATATTTCAAGTGGACAATTGTTCCTCAGAGGACAGAAATATTGGCCACACCTGATCAAAGAACATCTTGGGGACTTAGAAAGGGGCCAAGCAGAAACTGTGCTTTACGTTGACACTAAAGCAAATATCACTCTTTATCTGTATCCTAAAAGAGGGCCCTGCAGAGGATAGTGAGGGGAGCTGAATATGTAATTGCAGAGCCTTCTATGCTTCTGCCATTAAGCAAATGGCATCCCTATACAAAGAAACTGCTTTTGAACTCAAACTATTCAAATCTGATCATTGCTATTAAGACATTTGCTTCATATATTGCCATTATTTTAAAAAGTTTTAATCTGTTCCAAATTTTCTTGTCAACAGATTATTATTTTTTTGCACAAATCTGCTATAGAGCCAAGAGGAGAGGCTCCTTGTTTACTGTTTGTTACACTGAATGACATAATATGGGGAATAAAGTGCTTGCATTCTGAGTTGAATGCTCCACGAGATGTTTTACACTACCAACTACAATTTCATAAAAAGTTTAAACAATTTGGATTTTTCTTCTACAATCTTGTTTTTAGTTAATTTATGAATAAATTTAATCACAGATTAGAAAAAATAAAACAGAAAACACAACTGTCTAAACATCTAAATTAATACTTTGGACACCTTGTTGTCTTTTCGCTGCTTCTCTGCTCTCCCATTTCACCATCTCGTCTTCTGTAACTTCTTGTCTTGCCACACTGCTCAGCTCATACACGTCCACTTCATGGAGTTTGGGTAATAAATCTTTAACCCACTCATAGCGAACAGGACACACCGTCCTGATGTACATCTTGGACGTCACCAGCACATCATGGAAGATGACCCAGTTCAGCTCGACGTCCTGCTCAAACAACTTAAAACAACAAGTAGCGCTTAGGAAGGTATGTAAACAATAACGTGGATTTTTGTTGCCGTCTTAAAATGAAATATAGAAAAAGAATGCTTACTGATGATGATGGATGGATGTGAACCATAGATCCATGACCGTCCATTGTGCAAAACACTTTGCCAACAGACCTGTTACAAAAATATGTATATATGGTTGAGTCACAACTAAAAGAAATCTGAGCAATATGTTCGATTTGAGATTAATCTCAACATCTTGATAATATTAGTGATACCTTCTGGCAACATTGGTGAAGTATCCGGTGCAAAGGCACCGTCTGAAGAGTTCACTTTTATTCCCGTCAAAAGTTTCAACAGGAAAGTCTCTCCTCTGAAAAAATAAGTCTTAAGTTAAATTTATAGCTAGATTATAGCACAATGTGATTATAAAGATGTATATTTACATATTATATGTAAAGACGCTGACAATTCTGCTAAAAGTCTGTAGTTGTATGCACAATAACAATGATAAAATTATGTAAGCATAACCAAAATTGGTATAAACTGTAATGTATGATCAACAATAGAGTACAAATTAATAATCTGCTTTGATATGCTATAATGTAACACTTACTTTCTTGTTTTCCTACTATTGTTGTTTCCCCGCAAGAGTCAATCAAATATTTTGATTCTCATCCCACATGAAGAAGTAGGATGTAGATGTTGTACCTGCTGGAGGCGGAGGAGGATCTCTCTCAGCTGAGTCTCCACACTAAAAGCTGACTTCAGCGCCCTCCAATGGATCCAGTTCTCCTTGCACCAGCCTGATGGCCTGTCACTGCAGAAAGGGGAAGAAAGGGGAAATGTGAGTGTAAAACATGGCCAGACATTTTAGTTGCACAGGACCTTGCCATATCCTTTCCTTACCTGGACTTGCAGGAGTTGAACACACTAAGAAGAGTGGCAAAATCGTTCATGCTGCCGGTTTTAGCAGCCAGTTCTCCATGCTTCTTTGCTGCCTCTTTTTGCTTGTCAGGTTGACCTACAGGGGAAAAATAGAGAGATCTATAAGAAACATTTCTCATGTCTTTATCAAACACCTAGTTTTATACTCCAGAACATAACTTTCCAAAGACCGAAACAGTGGCATTACTAACTATTCGCTTAGGCCATTTCCGATCGTCTCATGTTCTCCAAGATATATTTTATTTTTTCACTGGAAGTTTTCATATTATAAGAAGCTTCAGCAACCGACCTGGTCTGATGAAGATGTTCTCCACAGACAGCATGGCCGCCACAGGGAGCAGCAGGTCCTGGCAGCCCAGTGAGGCGGCTTTAAGCAGAGCCCTGGTGAGACCCGGGTGCAGCGGGAACTCCACCATAAGCTCCCCGAGCTTCGTTACCCTGCCTCTCCTACATCAGAAAGACAATGCCTCATAAGATGCCCGGGAGATCTGCAGAACAGAGCATCAATATGTTCCAACCCTCACCTGTCGATTGCATCAAACTGGTAGAGCTGTTTTAGTGCTTCAAGAATAAGCCTTTCCTCTGGACAGTCTAAATAAGGAAACCTGGAATAAATCAACATTTCTCACTGAATAATTGATCAACCTTAAGCGGCCGAGAAACAAAAACACAAAACAAACCGTGTACCTAATAACATCATGAACACCGAGACATTTCAGTGTGAGGATCACAGCGGTCAGACTCGTCCTCTGAATTTCAGGAATTGTGTATTCCGGCATACATTTCTCCCAGAATTCCTTGGTATAGATCCGAAAGCACTTCCCCGCAGAGGTTCTCCCAGCTCGGCCTGCTCTCTGTTGAGCCTCGCTCCTGTTCAGAGACAATTTACACAATACCCAGTTCAATCTCTTTCCTCGTTGACAAGATCTGTCTCAAGGCAATGTTTGCTCTCAGGATTTACTTTGAAATCGGCACAACCTCCAACACGTCCATGCCCACCCTGGAGTTGTGATTGAGCTGCTTCACAAAGCCGCTGTCTACGATGTACCTAAATGAAATAAAGAAAGGAGAAACGGAAACCTGTCAGAGAGGAGTTATATTTAAAGGAATTGTATCTAAACATGTTTTGTGCTGGCTAGAGTAAAACACTTTCCTCAAACAAACAGTTCTGTGCCACTTTTGACATTGTAATAAAGGTCAGAAATAAAGTGAATAACTTAAAACACAAAACCCAGGTTCCAGTTCTTCTACTGTTAAATCACCAGTATTGTACCGTAAGTATAAACTTACTTGCAGCCCTACTGAAAAAAAAAATATAAAAACAAAATCCTAACATTCCTAGCAAACTTGACCCACTTCCAAGCGGCAGGAAAAGAGGCTAAAGTTAATGGGGTAAAGAATTTAGTGACAAACTACCAAAAGACTAATGACGATTTCAAAGAGAAATGCTGTGAAGAAACAACTATTTCATAATGAGAGGATTGTTTTTCTATTCTATCTTAAGAGATGTACCCAAATTAAAAGTGATCTTTTTTCTATAATTCTTCAGTGTGAGATCATGAGGTAAATGGAAGCAGAAAAGATGAAAACTGTGTTTCTGAGTTTAATTCAGTAAGATGTCTCATTACTCTGCAACTTGCGCTAAAAACAGGTAGGAATGTAGGGATTTGCAAATATATTAAAAGAGTTTAGAAAAACGTTTCAACCCGTGGCACATATTTGTTTGGTATGCTTCCAGGAGGACAAGCTCGACTTACTTAATACCATCGATGGTGAGGGATGTTGCTGCAATGTTTGTTGCTACCACACACTTTCTGATTCCTGGAGGAGGAGCCTGAAAGATCTGCCTTTGCTGATCTGCAACAAGAACAAAAACACCATCGACAGTTATCAGTGACGTCTATATCAGCGCAGATAACATACAGCGACTTCAGGCGACGTACCAGTGGGCATGGATCCATAAAGAGGTAAAATGAGAAGACCCTCCACGGTCCGGTCCTGCACGTCATAACGATAGTCTATATTTTCGGCTTTTTCAAACAACAAGTCACAGGCATGCTCGATCTCTGACTGGCCTGTAATACACAGAGGTCAGTGAAGAGAAACCAAATTTTCACATTTTGTCACATTACAATTAAATACCTCAGCACATTTCATTGGGATTTGTATTAGGATTGATTTCCACAGAATTGTGAGGTAAAAGGAAAATACAAGGGAGAACAAATAAACATCTAAAAAGTGAGGTCTGAGTGAACTTTTGTGGAATCACATTGTAGGTACATACGCTGTTTCCTACAATCTATGTAGGTAAAAGCAAACTACCTTTCACTTTAATTTCTTTCTACGACCCTTTATATTTTTCCATAAGTGCACAATAGTTTCTGTCAAAAGATTTTCCCACCTCAGGTGTGGATGTCTACATCTTTTCCAAAATCACAACTTATTAATGATTTTCTAACACAACCTGTCCACATTTTGAAGGTTGCGGTAGTACCGTAATAAAATGTGAGAAAATACTTTGTCAAGGGTCTTACTATAATGACAATTATCACTATTTACCGGTCAAAAACACCAGAATATCGCCAGCCTTTTCACTGGTGTGCACGTCCAGGGCCACTTTCACCACCTGGAAAGCAAAACAATGCAAAAGTCCTTAAATACCACAAAAAAACAAACAAACAAACAAAACATTTGAAACTACACATAAATGAGACAATACCTCTTTGACATAAAAGGTGCTTTCTACATCTTTTGGACCTACAGCTGTGCCAAACATGGATGCCACAGGGAAAACCCTCCCAGGAATTTCAAAGACTGGACAGTTGTTGAAGAAAGAAGAAAGTTTATCGGTTTCCAACGTGGCGGACATCACCACCACTTTAAGCGGAAAGGATCGTCGCTTCATGGCCTCGCGAGGATTTGAGAAAACCTTCTTTAATAAACCCAGAAGAATGTCCTGTAATGAGAAAACGCAGCGGCTCAGTACAACAGAAGGAGAAAGCGATTAAGCACACCTGCATAGTAATGTAAATGTACCGTATTCAGACTGCGTTCATGGACTTCATCCAGTATTACAACGCTGTACTGGGAAAGCGCCGAATCTGCCAGGACTTCTCGGAGCAAACATCCGTCTGTCATGTACTTCAGCACAGTGTCCTGCCACAAACAGTGGGTTCAATCATACTGAACAGAAATGATTCAGTTCATTTTGCATGTAGGACAACAGTGATCACTCACTTGTGACGTGCAATCATCAAATCGCACTTGGTATCCAACCTCTCTCCCCAGAGTGCACTTCATCTCCTGAGCGACCCTCTGAGCTACGGTGATGGCAGCCACACGACGAGGCTGGGTGACGCCAATTTTACCATCCTTACAAAAACCTACTCACACAGAGGAATTAAAAGTAAAACGTATCACTTAAAAACATGAAAAATATTGATAAAACTAACCAAACACATAGCTAGAAAGATAGGCTCAGTTCATAAACATTGGAGCTGCTCTATTACATATTTAGAGAAAATTTAAAAAAAGGTATTTTTGAGTCAAATACACAAAGTTCCTCATTAAGTTAAAGAAAGAAAATAAATTATTATTATTATAGACAAATATCTGACTTGTATTTGTTCATTTTGGACGTTTCATTAATCCTGTAAATGCAAACACTTGTCACATATGAATGTTTTATTCTTGAAAGCAGTGGTTCCAACCACTAAACCCCAGGAAAGTTCTCCATATCTGAGATTTGGTGACTGTGAAAACCACTGGAGTAAAATGAACTCACATTCATATTAATAACATTAGCTGGAGTTCATTTAAGCTTTGGAAAATGGTGCCTTATCCTGATGACAGTGGTCTGTTTTAAGGGTCCATTCAGAAATGGTATTCTGCTGCCCATAACCAGGTTATCCGATCGCAACATTGGGCAGTACAATAGCGAACCCTCAAAGAAGGAGTTTCTCTAACACTAAAATAGAGTTTATTCGTTCCAACGACATCTTACCTGCCTGATGCAGGTACTGAGGGAGCTGTGTGGTTTTCCCGCTTCCCGTTTCTCCGGTCACTATGAAGAAAGTGCTGTTTCTGACCGCCTGAATCAGCTTGTTTTTGTGCTGATATATCGGCAGCTGCTTCGGCTCGCAGTCTTTGGGCGTCCATCTCGTTTGTTTGGACATAGCCGGGAACTTTAACTGCCGAAGAACAAACTAAGACACACGACAAGACCTCAAGCTCCTCGAGCAAAGTAAAAGTTTCTAAATAAGCTCCGACGGGGAATAAAACTTCCCAACATTTTAAACCACGCGTTGAAAAGACGACGCGATACCTCGAACACTTCCGTAAACCGACCTCTTCTAATTTGCCATTGGCTCTTCTTGGATCACATGACACAAAAGTACCTACCAAAATAAAATACAAAACATAAGCCCAAATAATTTAATTCACACGCCAGACACATTTTTAGAACACAACTTCAAGACATCAAGGTATATTCAAACATGCCAACCAATAAATAACATACTTGAGTTTCATAATTTTAAGAAAAGTAGCCATATTGTTCTTGCTAAAGACACAATCACGAAAGTCAACGTATTTAAGGATTCCCTACCCACTGTGCACATCTAGAAGTTATAATTAAATAGTTCAAGCTAAACTAAACGGCTAAATATTATATGTAGTCAAGTCATCAAATCAAGGAAGATTTTAATCTAATGTTTAAGGTCATTTGAGCTACTGTTAACATGTAAAGAGTCATTTTAGCAAAGATTTTGGTAAACTGCTTCTGAAAAACTTTATTTAGTAGTAGAGAAAGGGGGGGTAAAATACTTTTTTTACCCATTTATTTGTACAAGAAAAATAGTAATTCATTGTTCTACCACTCTACAGCTGTGTCTGGCAGACTTTGCAACTCTGCCAGAATCAAGGCATCAAGAATAATAGCATACCATAGATGGTTGCTCTGCACAAGGCGTATTTTTGTTTCCAGTTTGAAACAGTGACTAAATTTCTGAGACTATTGAAACACACAAGACGGAAACTAGTTGTTCCCCATCTGAATGTTTTTAGGAGATACAGAAGAGGTCAATGCTCTGAAAGCTGCTCTCTCCTGTTACCGGTAGGATTCTTTTTTTGTGTATGCTTCCCTGTATGATAAACAGAAGAAGTTTAGTTTAGTTTATGCAAAATATTAACATTTATACAGGTACAATGACTGTGACTATTTAATTGAACAACTGATTACATCATGTGTGACAAGAGTGCCTTTAAAATTACATTTTTTGTAAGCAACTTGGTCCCTTACAGATCTCTATATTTCAGTGGAAATGCACCTGTTGGGGAACAGGAGAAATGTTTATAAAAATCTCATAATAAAGCAATAGTTTTAAACCTACACATTTCTGTATGTATGAGACATGCCTGGTTTTTGAAAATTGAAAGTTTCACAAATGAGAAGAGCTTGTCAACAAACCATTTGTGATGGGATGGATTTGCTCTTTCTTTAACAGAAACTGACAACACAACTGCTCTGAGGCCATCACTGGCAAAGGGGCAGTGATGCCTACCAAGAACAGTTTGTTCTGTTTTAGTTGACTATAAAGTTTGTTTGGCAATATTTGAGGTATCTCCCAAACTTGTTCATTAGTCCTAATTACCCTTTAACAAGAAGGTTCCATCTCTACGGGTCATGTGACTCCTCAGTTGGAGTCGCCCAGCAGTTCTTCAGCAGCAGGGATAAGTCCAGGTCGTCATATTTGATAATAAATACCTCCACATACAGAGGCTGACCCAACTCCATTAGCATAGAGGTGGTGCTGGTGGACTAAAACGATCTGTAAGAGGAATCTGTATGGAAGAAAAAAAGACTAATCAAAACACTGTTTACTGTACTTTCCACCTTCCATTTTCCTGTTGCAGACTGGATGATCTTTGGCAGTGCCATGATGACCACTTTGAAACTAATCACAGATTTCTGTTAAATTGATATTAATAAAAAATAAAAAAACAAAAAATATTTCCTGAAGGACAAATTAATGCAAATAAATGCAAATTATTTTGTCAGAAGCTCACTTGTCTTGTCACAAAACACCAAATGGAAGCTACTGTAAAGATGATGAAGGAGTTTGTTTCTCTGAGGAAATAGCGACAACGTCATGCTACAGCAAAAACCTGGTGATATCCGCCTTGTTCATCTGTGTGACACAAACAAGTGCATAGAAAACCACAAGCGCTTCAAGGCCAAGTGTCACTGTAAATGCAAAGTATCTGACTTCCCTAGCACATAAATGCTGAATGGAAGACGGAAAAAAATTCTCTTTTGATATGTACACAGATATCAAGTTGTCATTGCAAAACAGTGTGTTGTTGGTGGCAGTAATGTGAAACGTTGGTCGATGTCGCTCTGATGCAGCACGAGCTTCATGTTTCAGGTAAAGCAGCGACAGAGACGCCAATATAACCAAAATAAAGTCTGTGATGTTGGTCTTCATTGGGTGCTTTTTGTCTTCTTTTGTTTTGTTGATGTTGCTGAAGTTCTGTGTGACAGGTGGAGCAGGTGGTTCTCATTCACTTTGATAGGTCCCAGGAGACAAAAGTCACTATATATACCAGAGGGAGTACGGCTGACAAATCTAAGTCAGTGCTCTTTAGGAAGTTGGAGATTTTTATCTCTGCCACTGCAAACTGACTGCAGATACAAGTCTGCATTTTTTTTCTCATTGTCTGAAAGTTACAGAAGTATTGAATTGTATCTTTACACCAAATTATACATTAAAGCAATTTGTTTTGTATTAAAGTGCACCAGTTTTAATAGGCTTGATTGGAACACAGTATGCAAATCAATACTCAGTTTACTTATAAGGCGAGAGAAAAGAAAAACAATCATGTAATAGTTTTTATGAAAAGAGCTATGACTGCTCAGATTTAACAGTCACACTTGTTAAGGGTACATTGTTCACTTGCCACCAGCTGCGCCCCCAGGGGGAGCAGGAGAGTAATGGCATATTTATTTATATTAGTACAGCTCTGGAAAAAATTAAGAGACCACTGTACTGAACCGCATTGAAAACCTCATGGTTATTCCACCAAGTATTTTTTTTCTGAACCCTTTCAGAGTTAAAACATTAGCATTGTTTCTAAATGAATATGAACTTTTTATTTGCTGTCTGAAAGTGCTGCATCTTTTTCATTATTCCTCTCTCACCTCTAGAAAAACAGCCCACGACAAGATGATGCTGCACCTTGTGGTGTAGCTACAAATAGTACAAAGTACAAAGCTATGACTAAACTGCTTAACTTACAAGTCTTTCAGGGAGAACTGTATATTTGACACAGAAGCCAACAAGCTTCAAATATTTAAACAATAGGACAGTCTTGTGACTTTCTGTAAAGACTCATTTACTTTCTCTCAAAAATGTTCATGTTAGACAGGCGGTGATTTTTCTGTTCAAATTAGATGGACAAAAGATAAACCTTGATTTCTTTCAACCACTGTGTCTAAACACTGAAAGTTATGCGTTATTTTACATCTCCATTCTTTCATGAGACAAAAAACGATAGTATAGAAAAAGTTTTTATTTATGACTTATGTATTTTTTTATTATTAAAAAGCTTTAAAGATACAAGATACAGAAAAATGTATTGCAGTTAGACTTGAAAACAACATAATCAGTAAATATCTATCAGTATCAAAAAAAAAAAAAGCAGACTCCTGAATCGTCTAGAGTCGGTTGAGTTGGTCTGTGCTCCTGTTGTAAATGGGGTTTTTGTATTCACACGCTGAGGAGGAGTGGAAAAAGTGGGAGAGCAGTTCAGTGCACGTAATGATTTCATTGCTAACATGATGCACAGATGAAGTCAGCACTCACAGTCTTTGGGTTTTCTCCTGCCCATCCCTGCTGTGCAACCAGACAAATACAAAAAACAGATGAGCTAACATATTGTTAGTGTTTTTACACTGTATTGTGTTTTCACCCCAATTCTACATTGTAATTATGTAGAATTGTAATTAACGATATGATGTTAGAAACCCTGGATACCTCTATTATTCTCTGCTTGTGCTGCCCTGGCTTGCTGCTTACGGATCTCTCCCTGGTTTGCTGTGAAGGAAAACAGATAAGTAACTCACCCGATAGAAACAACAGGAGAAAATACGAACACACATTTTAGCATTACCATAAAAATGGCGATTTATACTGGCTTGTCGTAACCTGCTGAAGAGCTCTGCAGAGAGAGGAGACATTTACTCCATGGCAGATTAATTCAGAGGTCATTAACACTATAAAAAGTGACAATAATAAAGCACCTAAATGAAATCTCTGCTTTGTCCTCTGACTTTCCTCTCTTTGAAACTTGAACTCATCCAGATTTGGATAAATTCCAATCCCACTCTGATCAGGCTGATTCCCATCCTGGCGCTGTGCAGCTCCTGGTTGGCCAATTGGATTTCTGGATGCGTTTAAGTACTGGTCATCATTTTCTGTTGTTTACGATAAAAAAAAAGAAAACATTGTCACCTAGTTGCTCAGGTTGTCGGTAGCTGCTAACGTCTGCAGAGGCTTTCTTAGCAAAATAGCTAAATATCTAAAATAGAAACTGAATAAAGAAAGGAGATACGTGTGAACTCACCATAAACAAGATTATTGTCAAGATTGTTGCCTCCTGGTAAGGGAAGCACACAAATGTAGTGAGGCTTGTGCTTTCTCTGTATTTTCAAGACAGAATTATACTACCATTTCTAATTAGATGCAATTTAAATGAATAGAGAGATTATGTAATGTCACCATGTGCTTGTGTTCAATGTTACCTGTTGGAGGTCTGTTTACGCCGCCTTCTTGTGGTGGAGCACTGGGACCTGCTGTGACATGTTATATCACAGAGGAATTTATGTTATCAGAAGATAAACATAATATTTTAAAGTGTCAAAACCTGGGAAAATAGAAAAAAGATACCCATTCCATCCCTCTCCTTTCATTTCAGTAATAATAATACAAAATTTAAAACGTCTTTTATCTATTTTCATTCTCAACTATTTGGATGTTATAAATCTGGTAAGACCATCCAGTGTACTGTAATTATAAGAAAGCCTGCAACAGTCAATTCTAAGGTCTTTATTGCCTATTTGAGGCTTCAATTTTAGCTTTATTTAGATTGATGAAACAATATTTTTGAATAAGTGAAAGTCAAAAATCCATTTCCATTGCTATCTTTGAAAATACAGTACATTTCAAAGATAGAAAAAACTTTTTTCAAATTAGCTATACTAGGAATGAGCAACTTTGGATATATTTATTGAGGCTTGAAATATTTACACAAAATATTATGACTTCCACAACTGGTAAATGAAAAATATATGACATTATAAACATAACAGTCGCTCCAAACAAATGACAAAATTCTTGTGCTATGAACATTACTTTTTGCCTGATGTGCAAAACATGTTCTAAATTTATTCCTTTTGTTTGTTTGTTTGTTTTTTTTGAAGAAATACAAAGTTTTTCCATTGCGTCCTTGAGTAATTTTTATTAACCTTCTGGTTCCTATTAGAAAACTGTTTTCCATTTTACCTTCCCAGAACATAATTCTGTGCAACAAACTCATGAAATGTGAGGCCAAATTGTCAAGCGTAAAGTACGTGTAGGCCACAAAATAATAATTGCTATTTAGTTATTTTTTCAAACTTTTGTAAAAAAGGATCTGTGAGTCCCTGTAGCACCAACACTTAAAAGGTGTCTCATGTCTTTAATATAGAAACAGAAAGTTATGTATTATTTTTACATTAACTGTGTTCTATTTCTTATGGTGTAGAAGTCTTTTCAGCTTTTTTTTGTTCAGTTTAGCGTGAAATTTGGACCACCCTATGCCAGCAGATTTCCTTGATGGATGAAAATACTTGTGATTCATGTGAATGGTACCTCCTTAATATTAATTTTCTTCACTGATGCATCGTTTATTTTTTGCTATTCAATGTTTTGAATTTTTGCTATTCAAAACATAAAGTCCATAAAATTAATATTGAAGAAAATCTGAGTGATTTTTTTTTAAACTTCATGTATTTTAAAACTTCAAAATACTAACCCTAGCCTTCAGAATTTCTGTGGATTATACTTTCTGTGACATTATGACATACATACCTACAGTCCCACTGACTGTATCGATCACATCATCAGGCCCACTTTTGCTGGAAAGGCCTGAAAAAGAAAAACGTAATGTAAAGAGATGTGCTAAATATCCAATATTTATATCTTATCTAAGAATTGAAATTACAGTAACTTTAGTTATTAGAGTTGTCAAAATAATTTAAACATACATATATTCAATAATTATATGTACATATACCTCAAAATTAATACAAATTGACCCAGTCACATTTCCCAAATAGTCACACTTCTTTCAGCAGTAACTTCTAAACCTCTTTCAAGCTGCAGCTAATTTTACAGTTTGCTAATAAGCACTCTCATGTTGTTACTATTTTTTCTTTCTGGTAAGAAAGAACCTTGTGCCTTCAGAAATGTTCATGAGAATGGTGTGGAGTATTTTCCTCATCCGACGATGATGTTTGAAGTTTTGATATTGTGACAAAAATAAAAAAAATAAGAATACTCACAATTATATTTCAAACAGCAGAAGTAGCCAAAAAGGCTGAGGAGGATCAGTGCAGCTGCACCAGTACAGATGATGATCAGAACATGCATCTCACCTGCACAGCAAGATGTGGTTTTATAAAGATGGGTTTACAGGAAACAATAACTCATTCAATTGGCCTGTGTTTTGTGTTTAGTCTTTGAGGTCTGAAACCATAGAAAAGAAGATCATATGAGCCCCTGCACAGGCTGTATTGACAAAACTAAGAAACTGGAGGGCTACATTTTTCTAACAAGCAACTCCATTCGGAAAACAATTAGTCCCCTGTTTGCAGCAGTGCAACTCCAGATCTAAGTTTTTCAGCAAAACTATGACAATAGAATAGCTTTTCTGTAAGACCTGGTTAGAAAAGGCTTTGACTAGGCCAGATTTGAGTTTTAAAAAATTAACACGTTTGCCCATGGAAAGACGGACCATTTTTCCTTCACTTATGAGAGCCTGGATGACTGATATAACGGTATTCATGTGACAGGAGAATAGTGCTAACTAAAAAGAGCCAAGTATTGCAGAGACCTCAGGAAATTGCTCACATCAATAGACAGAAGGAAAAACACAATAATAAACATAAGCTTAAAATACTTTTCCACTGCTCACTTAAACAATTAAAAACACAAATTCAAAAAGGAAAAGGTCAGAATATTTCTCATTCTTTAAACCTCTAGTTCTTAGATATTGGTTTGATATTGTCATGACAGTTTTGAAACCTACTAAATTACAATTGATGTGTAAACAATATCAAATAAAAGTAAAGTTTACTTTAAATGTTTAGAACAGATAAATGTGTGGATGTGCCAAAACTTTCTCCAGCTGACCAAAAACAAAACTGAAGTCATTATTTTTGGACCTAAAGAGGAACGATATAGAGTCAATGCACAGCTTCAGTTATTACAACTAAAAACTAGCGATCAGGCCCGAAACCTGGGAGTAGTGATGGACTCGGACTTGAACCTTGCGAGCCACATAAAGACAATTACAAAGTCAGCCTTCTATCACCTGAAGAACATCTTCAGGATTAGAGGACTAATGTCTCAGCCAGATCTAGAGAAACTCATTCATGCGTTTATCTTTAGTCGCATTGATTATTGTAACAGCGTCTTCACAGGCCTGTCCAACAAATCAATCAAACAGCTGCAGCTGATCCAGAACGCTGCTCCTCGCGTTTTCACTAAAACCAGGAAGATAGAGACATAACACCAGTTTTAAAGTCCCTCCACTGGCTCGCTGTAGCTCAAAGAATAGACTTTAAAATACTGTTGTTAGTTTATAAATCACTGAACGATTTAGCACCACTGTGATGGTCTGACCAGCAAACTCAAGGACAAAGGCATAAAAAAATAACTATTTAATTTTTCAAAGAGTTTAAAGATTTTTTACAACAAATTTCAAAAAGAAATAAGAAAAATGGGCCCAAGAAATAATCAACCAAAGCATACCAACTCAACAAACAAAAACTAACTGACTCTTCTCAATGAACACACAGGGGAATTTATATACAAAGGCTAGCCTACACACACACACACACAAGGAGGGGTGGGGGAGCAAACAAAAACAACCAATACATAAACATAAATAAATTCAAATCACAACATTTTACTTTAACACAACTATAAAACAAAACAACCTAACACCATAAATATTATAACAATAGAGTGAGAGGAAGATGTCAACAGGGCGGGAGGAGGAGTCTTCCACATCAAATTCCCTGCTTCCCGCAGCCTGATGGTTCGTTCCAATTAGTGGTTTGAGACAATCTCCTCCCAGAAAAAGTGATATAACCAATATAAATATTATCAATATAAAACATTAACTAAATACTAACACTAAAGAAAAGAACACTTTACACTGAGAAGATGGAGGAATCTCCACAACCACAATACATCAAAGATCTGCTGTTGTTGTATCAACCTTCCAGACCTCTCAGGTCTTCTGGTTCTGGACTGCTTTGCATCCCCAGAACCAGAACCAAGAGAGGAGAAGCAGCTTTCAGCATCTATGCACCAAAACTTTGGAACAAACTTCCAGACAACTGTAAAACAGCGGAAACCCTGACTTCCTTTAAATCGCAACTAAAAACACACCTGTTTAGAATTATATTTGAAATGTAATATGTAACAATGTATTGTCTATTATATGTTGCATGACTTTGTGTTCTTGTGTTTATGATGTAAAGCACTTTGAAATGCCTTGCTGAAATGTGCCATACAAATAAAATTTGATTTGATTTACCTTTGTCTTTGGATAACTTCACTTCAATGCATTTATTGCTCTGCCTGCAGTAGTAAGAACCTATATCAGAGTTTTGGAGCGCATCAATGATGATAGAGTAATTCCTCTTTGGAGCTTGGATGGGAAAGGTTTTCACTCGCCCAGATCTGGGGTCCAGATAAATGATGCGCCCCTTAGATGAGAGACGAACCAGGTCCACATTTTGTCCATCTTCCTGAGTCCATTCAACCCAGCTGGAGTCTTTTGATGAAAAGTTGCAGGGCAAGCGGACAGAAGAGCCAAGTGCAGCAATGACTTCATGTGTCTTACAGACATTCTCAATATCTTGTTCACCTAAATAGTAGGAAAACAAGAAAGAGCCAATAAATTCACAAGGCATGAAAATGCAACAAAGTGCACAGAAGAGCCAAGTGTAGTGCTTATTTTTATGAGTTTTTAGTCTTCGTCACCTGAATGAAATATAACAGTTTCATAAAAAACAAAAAAATGAATAATAATAAACTTCTATATACTTGTATCAGTCTCAGTTTGTCAATTAAAAAAAATAATATGTGTTTCAATGAAATGACTTCTTTTTCACATAATAAATTAGACTTAGACTTAGACTTGACTTTATTGATCCCTTGGGAAGACTCCCTCTTTTAAAATAAGCATAATTGTTATGAGGCCTAAATTTCTGTATTATTTGTTATTATTCTGATCTAATATTCTAATCATAATTGTTGTCTACTGTAGAGTTAGTGGGAAATCACCAAAATTAATTGAAAATAAGCTTGAAAAACACTGCAATATTAATCTGTATATTGCTTTACTCTGTGAATGTGGTTAATGAAATAGACAAACTTTTCAATAATGTTTTACTTTCTGTTCGTCACTTTTCTGTTTCGATCAGACCTCGGGAAGTGGTGGAGATTAATGATAAGTTATAGTTTTAAACAAAAGGGGAGGAAAAATTACAAATCTTAATTGCTTGAATGGTGTTGCTAGTGCTTTTGTACCACCTGTATCTGTTCAGTCTCATATGTTAAACTACAGCTCCACATTTGTAAGTAAAGAATTTTAAAAGATTTTGTACTTTACACATTTACTTCACTAACATGTGAGATTGGTGCATTTTAATGTCGTTTTAACTTGATTACTAAGGAAAATGTGTTTATATGACATTCTTTAAGCAGAAGCGTAAAATGGTTTCTTCATAAGTATGAAATGGAAGTAGGGTGAGAGACAACTGCAGTGCATGGGCGTGGAATGTGGTTACCGAATGACAAATGTGAGAACTATCCTACTGCTATCTGGACCCATCAGAACACGTCTTTTCTCTCTTCTACACCTTAAGCTCAATTTTGACTTTTCAAACGGCGTTTTCTTTGGTTTTTATATATTGATTTCTCGAGGCAGATGTGTAGTTTGACTTGTCTTTCGAATGCGTATATTAAAAACATCTGCTTTTATTATTAAAGACATTACTGTGGCGACAATCAATGTGTATATCTTTTTCAATAGTAATTCAACAAAATATGTTCAGTTCCTTTTTTGTTCATCCAAGATTTCCTCTTTAAAAATGGTGGCCAAATCTGCCATGTTATGTTTTAATAATGCATTAGGTGGTTCTAATCAATCAGGTCATTGTAATTTGGGCATTCTCCCAGAGAAGCCCTTTAATTTGGTTATTTACAAACTACTAAGCTACTCTCTGCATTTTGGAGAATAGCTCAAAGGTTATCAATTCACTGAATCGAAAACATAAATATTGAAAACCTTGTTTAGGAAAAACTTTACTGCAATACCATTTAGTGAATTGTTGTCCTGAATAGACAGTAGGAAGCACATGAACATAAACTTACAGCACTAATGTAGAAAATAAAAATATTTTATGGCAGATATTTTTATTCTGTAACCCAAATAAATGTAAGGTCCAAGAGAAACAGCTTACCTTTGTCTTCGGACAACTTCACTTCAATGCATTCATTGCTCTGCCTGCAGTAGTAAGAACCTATATCAGAGTTTTGGAGCGCATCAATGATGATAGAGTATTTTCTCTCTGACACTTGGATTGGAAATGTTTTCACTCGCCCAGATCTGGGGTCCAGATAAATAATGCGCCCCTTAGATGAGAGACGAACCAGGTCCACATTTTGTCCATCTTCCTGAGTCCATTCAACCCAGCTGGAGTCATTTGATGAAAAGTTGCAGGGCAAGACCACAGAAGAGCCAAGTGGAGCGCTGACTGTATGTGTCTTACAGGCTCCTTCACCTGAATGAATTGCAAAAGTTTCATAAATAAAAACCAAATAAATACATAACAATGAACTTATGAGTTCCAGAAGTGTGCATCCCAGAGAACACTTGCTCCAGGTGAACAGTCTGCTCAGTTATCAGTTTCAGTTTGTCAAATAAACTCATATTTAATTAATTAGAATATGTGTGTAGAAAGAGGAAATGATCATAATTAGCTGACAAAAAGCTTGTGGAATATTGAGCTTTATTAAAACTCATTGGATTTGAATGATTGATTAAAAAAATATTAAAGCGCACAACTGTTTTTTGAAGGTTCTTTTCATGTGGCCCACTAGAGTGTAGACTGCAGGCCGGCCGTCGGGCCGGGAGTTTGACACATCTGACCAAGATGTTATCAGCTACATCAACCCCAGAGGAGACCATGACTCCACAGGCTTGAATATTGAAAAACAATCAGAATCTGAACCCTAATGGCTGTGTCATCGTGGGAAAAAGTAAATCTGAACAGATGTTTTCTGGTTTTTCCACTTTACCATGTGGTGTCTTTAAAAAAAATAAATAAATAAAATAAAAACTTTTTCCAATAAAAACTTTTTCCAAGATCTGCTTCTCCCTGTTTCATACTGAGACCAGAGACTCTCATGGGAATGTTTTCATTTTGTTTTTGTTGTTTGATTTCTGATTGGGTCAGACGTTGGGATGGGGTTTGCTTATAAACTGTTGTTTCAAAAGCAGGAAAAAGAAAATGTTAATTGCATTAATTGTGTTGACTATGCTTTTGTACCACTTGTATCTGTTGAGCCTGATATATCAAACTACATCTCCAAATTTGTAAGTAAAGACTTTTTGAAAAATTATATATTACATTTTTAGTTGACCAACATGTGAGATTATGATTCAAATTCAAAAATACTCTATTGATCCCAGGGGCAAATTAAATATTGTTATAAATCATATTAATTCATATTCTTCAAAGAGTTATTGTAGTTAGTGATGGCTGTTGGCACGAAAGATCTCTCGTAGTGCTCTGCATTTTAATGTGATTTTAGCTCCATGATGCAATTCTTTAAGCAGAAGTGTATGAAATGGTTTCTTCATGAAATAGAAATAGGATGAGAGAAAACCGCAGTGCGTGGGTGCAGAATGTGATCACCGATTGTGGAGGTGAGAACTGTCTTCTTGCTATCTGGACCCATCAGGGCACACTCTTTCTTCTTTTTTCCACACTTTAAATCTTTATTGTTCAAACTGAGTTTTCTTCTGTTTTTATTCATTTCTTAAAGTAGCTGTTCAACTTGATTTGTCTCTCTTAAAAACACTTTTCCTTTTACTATTCAAAACATTATTTTGATAACAATCTATGTGGATATTTTTTTAATAGCCATTTAGTCAAATATTTTTAGTTCCTGTTTTCCCACTACAAAAGCATTTCCTCCTTCAAAATGGTGGTATATGTCTGTCCTTTTAGGCAGTTTTTAATTAGTCAGGTCAGAGTAGTTTTGGCAGCGTTCATCCCCTCCGTCAAAAGCCATTTTTGATTTGGTTATTTAAAGAGCACTAAGCGAATCTCTGCATTTGGCGATAAATGCTAATCGTCTTCTTTCTTATTAAAATAACTCAGAGATTATCAATTCACTGAAACTTAAATCTAAATGATGAAGCGTTGAAAACTTTAAACAGTGGAAACCCCCACACTCAACTAGTGTTAAGTGAAATTGTTAAATTTCACGTTACACTGGTGATTTGAATGTGACGCAAAAGGTCTTTCAAATGAAAGTACCAATTTGTTAGCTTGGATAAATCCTAGAGTATATATTTCTTAACCAAGACCTGAGGTTTGCTGTTTAAATATAGTCCTGGGCATGCTGCCTGTGGATATGTGAATTATTTCAGGGAAAACTTCAAAGTCAATAAAAGTATGATTGCTATAAATAGATCATCTATTTTAACACTGCTCTACACTCCTCACAGTTTAAATGTAAAAAAGGTCTTACCTTTTGAAATGACACACAGCACCCAGAGGGCAAAAAAGGGAATCCACTTGTCTGCTTTCATTGTCACCATTTCACACAGTGTTTAAAAGCAGCAAGACGTGGCTGCTTTAACCTCTCTGTGCATCATGGGACAAAACCACAAGACCACTCCAGCTCGACTACATCACTTAGTCACCTGCATATTTCTGCAAGGTTTCATTTTGTACAGCAGTCAACTCAACACCAAAACTTCAACCTTTTCAAACTTGATGGTGATCATGTTTGGCTTTAAACTTTTTACGGTTTACTATTTAAACCATGCAGGTAGTGCAGAAAGGACATAACGTGAAAGCTGCCTCCACATCCTGTTGAAGCTTGCTGACATTTCCTGAGTGACAGACCTCCAAATGTGAGATAAGTGCAATTTCTAGCCAGCTTTCCTGTCCTTTGTGCCTTTCTGTCACAGTTTACCTGAACAACAATTGCTTCTCAGCAACACTTGGTTAGTCAGTTAAAAAGACTTTTAAATACATTTCTGAAAAGTTAAATACAGAATCTCTTTTTCCACTGCTGCATCCTCTTGTCTGACCTTGGCAGAGTTGTGGTTATTTGAGTTGAAAGCAAACCATAGTTTCCTCTGATGCATTGATGCAGGCCTGGGTATGTGCAGATACCTCACAACCAATGCTGAATCTGAGTGAATGACTTTTCCTCAGAGAAAAGTTGTTTCACAAATCTGTACACAAAATTGCCAAATAATTATTTCAGTTTCATATAATTCAGCATATTGTTCCATAAGTTTGTTTTAATAAGAAGAATTTCCAAGTAATGCAGCTTTGCAGACTTTTAAAACAACGAAGCATTGATGTTTTGTTTTGTTCTATTATGTCATAAACCAAAAAAAAGTTAGAGGAACTTTTTTTGTTTTGTTGATTTAAAGAATGAATTGTAATATGTGTTCCCACCGGAGATTTTTTAAATGTTGTAATTCTCAAGCTGAAAGTTGGAAAAACAACTGAGGTCCCTAGAAATTCGAATTCTCAGTGGGAAAGTCAGGGACATTTTTGACTAACCAAAATGGCTGCCTTGCATGGGAAACTTAAAATTATTTAAAGGGAAACACACAGTCCAAAGAATTCACACATAGACAATATTTATTTGGCTGTCCTGCAACATATTTCTCAAATTAATCACACTCTGTACTAGAGAATCTATTAAATAAAGAGCAAAGAAATGCATTGTTGTTTGCTTGTCTTGTTGGAAGCGGTTACCCTGGTCACTGAAGACATTAATCAGCAAATCCTACAGGATGTTGAAGTGAACTTCACTGAAGAATGGTTGAGTTTGGTTTCACAGAGTCAAAATATAACCTCAGAGATGATGGAGCTCAGCATAAGTAGCTGCCTGCACTGTTTGGTGGTTTACCATTATCTATTACAAGGGAGTTAATTTGCTTAAACCTTTCGAATGAGCAATACTGCAATATCGCAACCACAGGTTGAGAACTATGATGTTATGATCATGGGGCATTATTTCCTGTTTGTTTGTTGTTTTTCTTCTTGAGGAAATAGCTCTCCTTATTGGTTGGTTTCTGACCGATTTGCAGATACATCTGAAATAATCCTCTCATCTTCAGGAGGTTGTAGAAGTTTCAGGGATCCTCCAGCCTGTTATGAATTTGGTTGTGGTCATCAGGAGAGTCCTCTTTAGGATCAGTTGCTGCATTTGTCTGCGTGTGAATCACCCTGAGTATTTCTGCTTCTGCCTTCTGATGGTTCGGCTTCCCCAAGACATCAGAGCTCAGACAGTGACATCCCCAGTTCTTCACCTGAAAAAAACTTTTATCATTAATTTAATCTGACGCACCACAACAATAGAAAAAATTATACTGAAAAATCATTGAAAAAAACCCTCCAATCCACCTTTATTCTATTTTTTTCTCGCGCTCTGTCGGCTATGCTACAAAGATTTGCTGACATGGCAACTGACAACAACAACACCACTAAAATACCAGCCTTACATGCAAAAACATGAAATCAATTCCCAAACAAAACATTCAGACCATTCCAGTATCATGTTTTCAAGCTTGATGTTCATTTTGTGAGTATTGATAAGTAATTGTCTCACCTGGATTTGTAGTTGTTCTGGTGTTGATTAGTAGCAAAGCACTGCATCCCTGTTTCTTTTTCATATTTAGCACACGACTTACTAAAAGTCGGTAAAAAAAAATGCCTAACCAATTTCTGATGCAGAAATTTTGAAAGACTACTGACAGATTCCTTTTTTATCTGATCTGTAAATATGAAATGGTACCAAACATTTAGTTAACTTGTTCTTGTTAGTTTTTACGCAAGCTAATGCATAGACCCATTTTTGTACTATTTGTACATAGTAGCGGTTAGCAATTTCTTTGGCTTCCAACTTACTTTCTTGTAAACATTCGACCTATTCTTGGCTCAGATCTTACAGAAATACCATGGATGTGGTCTCTGAACTTAGAAAAACAAACACTGACAGTTCTTAAAGAAAATACATTTAATTAAATTACATTTCTGGATGCAATAAAAATGTATCTCTGACCATGTAAAACAAGCTGTAATCCTTGTTTTACATGTTCCAAGAAGACAGACGATGCAAATAAACAGAATCATTAAACTCTGTATTTTGTATTAATTGGACTTTTGCTGTTACAACCTATGGATGTAAGACCACTCTACAAAATATTACATCAAAAATGAATCCAACAGGTGAAGCAAGAAGCCATCAAACAAAATACTCCAACCAAATCAAGAGCAGCAGCCTTCACTTTAAGATAGACTCGTCGCAGGATAATTTTGTTTAGTTAACAGTAATGTGTAGAATTTTCCAAGAACACATTGTAAATTTGCATAAACATATTTGCATTGCCTTATGATATGTCTTTTACCACATGTAGATATGCTAGCATTACTTCATTTGGAAAATCAACATAGTCAGAGTTTAATTCTGTTAAGGTTTTTTAGTTTGGAAAGCAGAACTGGAGTGGATGGAGCTGACAATAAGAAGAAGACTGCAACCATGAAGATTGTCTAACTTAAGTGACTAAATAACCAGATAAGACAAGAGGGCCATTTGATCTCAAATTACCTACTGCATTTCTGCTGATGGATCAACAGTGTTGTCCTGTGTGTTTTTGTTACAGGACCCTGAAAAATAATAGAAAAGTATATTTAAAGACTAATCAACGACATCAAACACCAGCAGAATAAAACCCCTGCTATTTTTTTTCAACTTTTGATTTTGAGAGTGGTAGGTAGACCGGTACTCACATTTTATGAAGTAGACAACAGCACTCAGGAAAATGAGAACAAAAATGCCAATGAAGACATATCTCTGTGGTGAAACACCTGCATCATTAAAAAAGAAGATTTTCATTGGACAAAGTAGCTTCTTTCATGTTTTTAGCTTTTTCAAAGTGTATAAACATTGCTGCATACATTTGAATTGGCTCATCTTTTGTATCGGTAAAAACCACTTTCTTTCTTCACATAACTCCTCTTCAAAATAAATATGATTGATTTTGCCAGATCATCAATGATGATCTGGTTTGGAAGAGTCTTTACTGGAGTCCAGGAATTTTACATGCTCAATATGATACATGAACCAGGTCCACTGTATTCAAGTGAGCCCAGGTCATTTACTTAAGGTCATTTGATAAAAAGTAACAATGTAGGAGAACAGAAGAAACAATTTGAGCATAATGGACCTTAGATTTTTCACAAACGTCCTCATCACACAATTCTTTTTGTGATTGCTAACCTAAATAGGAAAAATACAAAACAAAACAAAAAACTAGAAATATTTCAAAACTAAATTAAAACTTACCATTTTAACAACTTCACCAAAAAACAGATTATTTTAAGCCATGTCAATAGAAGATTTGTTGTGTTGGATATCTTTATATGTGAAAAGCTTGTTTAAAATTAGACACAATTATCCAATTCTGATGCCACGTATTAAAATGGTTTTTTGTTAGGCATGATGTCATATAAACTTTAAGACTGGTCTTAAAATAAATAATTCTACAATGTGATATTGGATATTATACTGAATTTTCAATCAGTGTCCTCCAAAACATTGTAAAAGTACTTCAAATATTTATTTGGAAGAAGAACAGAAACATTTTATTCCAAAAAATACTTGAGAATACAGTGAAGCTAAAATAATTTTCGAAGTATTTTTAATCATTGTGTCAGTATTTATTAGTTCCTTTTAAAAGCAATTTACACTCTGTTTTTGGTCTTTGTTTACAGTAACGAAAGAAAGAGGATGGAATGTTGAAAAAGAGTTTACAGAGAAGTAACATACCTTTGTGTTCGGACAACTTCACTTCAATGCATTCATTGCTCTGCCTGCAGTAGTAAGAACCTATATCAGAGTTTTGGAGCTCATCAATGATGATAGAGTATTTTCTCTCTGACACTTGGATTGGAAAGGTTTTCACTCGCCCAGATCTGGGGTCCAGATAAATGATGCGCCCCTTAGATGAGAGACGAACCAGGTCCACATTTTGTCCATCTTCCTGAGTCCATTCAACCCAGCTGGAGTCTTTTGATGAAAAGTTGCAGGGCAAGAGCACAGAAGAGCCAAGTGCAGCACTGACTTCATGTATAACAATATCTTGTTCACCTAAATAGTAGGAAAACAAGAAAGAGCCAATAAATTCATAAGGTAAGGTTAAAATACATGAGAATGCATACATTTTATTCTTTATTTTCTAAACTATGTACTTTTTCTATTATTTCACTATTTATTACTTTTTTTAAAGCAGCTGTTTTTGGCCTTTTGTTTCATATCACCAGAAGAAAGAGGCAAGAAATGTTTGGAAAGAGTTTACAGAGAAGTAACATACCTTTGTCTTCGGATAACTTCACTTCAATGCATTTATTGCTCTGCCTGCAGTAGTAAGAACCTATATCAGAGTTTTGGAGCGCATCAATGATGATAGAGTATTTTCTCTCTGACGCTTGGAGGGGAAAGGTTTTCACTCGGCCAGATCTGGGGTCCAGATAAATAATGCGTCCCTTAGATGAGAGACGAACCAGGTCCACATTTTGTCCATCTTCCTGAGCCTGAGTCCATTCAACCCAGCTGGAGTCTTTTGATGAAAAGTTGCAGGGCAAGCGGACAGAAGAGCCAAGTGCAGCACTGACTTCATGTATTTTACAGATGTTCTCAATATCTTGTTCACCTAAATAGTAGAAAAACAAGAAAGGCCCAATAAATTCTCAAGGTAAGGTTAAAATACATGAGAATGCATACATTTTATTCTTTATTTTCTAAACTATGCATTTTTCTATTCTTTCACTATTTATTACTTTTTTTAAAGCAGCTGTTTTTGGCCTTTAGTTTTATATTACCAGAAGAAAGAGGCAAGAAATGTTTGGAAAGAGTTTACAGAGAAGTAACATACCTTTGTCTTTGGATAACTTCACTTCAATGCATTCATTGCTCTGCCTGCAGTAGTAAGAACCTATATCAGAGTTTTGGAGCTCATCAATGATGATAGAGTAATTCCTCTTTGGAGCTTGGAGGGGAAATGTTTTCACTCGGCCAGATCTGGGGTCCAGATAAATAATGCGTCCCTTAGATGAGAGACGAACCAGGTCCACATTTTGTCCATCTTCCTGAGTCCATTCAACCCAGCTGGAGTCTTTTGATGAAAAGTTGCAGGGCAAGCGGACAGAAGAGCCAAGTGCAGCACTGACTTCATGTATTTTACAGACATTCTCAATATCTTGTTCACCTAAATAGTAGAAAAACAAGAAAGGCCCAATAAATTCTCAAGGTAAGGTTAAAATACATGAGAATGCATACATTTTATTCTTTATTTTCTAAACTATGTACTTTTTCTATTATTTCACTATTTATTACTTTTTTTAAAGCAGCTTTTTGGCCTTTTGTTTCATATCACCAGAAGAAAGAGGCAAGAAATGTTTGGAAAGAGTTTACAGAGAAGTAACATACCTTTGTCTTCGGATAACTTCACTTCAATGCATTGATTGCTCTGCCTGCAGTAGTAAGAACCTATATCAGAATTTTGGAGCTCATCAATGATGATAGAGTATTTCCCCTCTGACGCTTGGAGGGGAAAGGTTTTCACTCGGCCAGATCTGGGGTCCAGATAAATAATGCGTCCCTTAGATGAGAGACGAACCAGGTCCACATTTTGTCCATCTTCCTGAGTCCATTCAACCCAGCTGGAGTCTTTTGATGAAAAGTTGCAGGGCAAGAGCACAGAAGAGCCAAGTGCAGCACTGACTTCATGTGTCTTACAGGCTCCTTCACCTGAATGAATTGCAACAGTTTCATTAAAAAATAAAAAGTAAATGATAATCAACTCAAGAATTTTAGAAGTGCACATCCTTGAGAAAGTTTCTCCAGGTGAACAGCCTGCTCAAATATCAGTTTTAGTCAAATAAACTCAAATTTAATAAATTAGAATATGTGTTTACACATATCCTTGATAAATTTTTCACCTAAATGGGATTAAAATAAGGAAGGTTCCCATTAATTCACACTGTCTGTTCTTAATACTGTTTTTGAATTAGTATTATTATAAAATTGTGTTAGAAATGAGTGATTTTTAAATTAAGTGAAGATTATTTATATTTTATATTTTTTAGTGTTACCACCACACAGTAATGTATTGGGAATGTGAATTATAAAGTTAAAAAATTGGAAGGTGTAGGTAAGTGAAGAGACTGTGAGCAGTAAATATTTTTCGTGGAACTGAGTCTCACACTGCTTGGTGACGAATATACAAACTAAGGTTCTGAGTTTGAATGTCACGTTTGTGGTGTTGATGAGAACCCAAAACATAAATGGGTAAAGGGTCCATGCATGATGGTGTGATTATTCAATGGAAAAAGTTTCTCATCAGTGTTGTCTCTGGGGCAATCACTACTGGTAAATGCAATCGCGTAGTCCACTTGTGAAACTGGACTCTAGTCCCCATTATTATGATTATGTTGCATATAGATCATGTCAAGCTACCTTTCGTACATTATGGTTTGTGAACCAGAAGCTCTCGAAAGTATCTGAGTTTGAGAAAAACAGCCTCCCACCTACCCACTATTGCAAATATTTTCACACTTTAATTTTAACCCTCCTGTTATGTTAGTTTCTGAGGTACAGCAATAATGTTTGTGGGTCAATTTAATCATGCGATAGTGTCAGAAATCAAAAAATTCCTCCAAAACATTTTTGTATCTGACAATTAACTCTAATACTAACCATTTCAATCAATATTTGTGCAGTGCTGCTTTTTTATTTCCCAGAAATGCAGGATTAATAACAATAAGTCTTTTTTACCCTTCAACTTGACTGCCGGGTCAAATTGACCCGAATAGTATCTATGTAAGAGGCAGACACGTGGCGGTTACAAATGTGTAAAATGAATACATTTTCAATTTATATGTAGAGTGCACCTATTAAAACAAACTTTTTTGAAACTTTAAAACGAATCAATTTGACCCGCAACATAACAGGAAGGTTAAGAAATGTTTGGCAATTAATGAGAGCTCAATATAACAACATCAAGAACATTGGGAACATTTGAACATTACAAGTATATTTAATAACAAAATATTTTAAGATGTTGAATGTACATCTGGCAATGTTACTAATACATTTTAACTTAAACGACTTACTTGAGGAAGCAGGTGTAAGCCACAGGGCTAAAAGAATAAGCCACTTGTCTGAATACATTCTCAGTATCTTCATGAATGTGACATACATGCAACACAGCTGGGCTGCTTGTTCTCTCACATGTAAACCACAAGTTTGAAAGAGTCAGCCCACACTTAATTTACGGAAATACTTTCACTGACTGACCAAATTTACATGCAGTCTAAAGCTTTTTAGAGAACCATGATAATGGCAAATAGTATTTGTTTGCATTAATAATTTTTTTACACTAGTGTAGTAAAAAAGATGTTCAATAAATTAGTGAAGTGCATCAGCCATGAACAACCAATGTACAAGTTGTCAGCATTCTAAATGTATGCTTAGTTCATAAGTGGCATTAAAAATGCTAGATGTGCAGCATGTAAAAGTCACAAGAAGTCAAAGTAATTGTGGACTTATCACTTCCATCATACAAGTTTGATTTTAGATCATGTATTTTCATCATTCTTTGCAAATTTGTGGTTATTGGTTTATATAGTTGCAGGTGTTTCCTCTGGTAATTGCATTACAGCAGTTTTTGGGTGTGTTGTATCACACTTCAGAGTTGTAAACAGTTCAGCCAAGTTTCTCCATGGGTAGTCTTAAAATGTTAAAAGATAAAGTCCTAAGGTTTTTTAAGTTCTTTCTGGTTCTTTGGTCTGTTTGTGGTATCGTTTCAGTGTGTTCCTAGATCAATCAATTCTCTCATGTGTGGCACTCAGAACTCTTCAGTACAAATGTTCCTTGATTGGCAAGAAAAAAGAAACATTTCATGTATTGGACTAATGTGCTTCATTTGTTTCTAACTGTGACTGACAGGATGGTGTCGACACCCATTCAGATGAGGGCTGACTCCACTCTGCTCTTCATAAGTGTCAGAAAATGATTAAATTGGAGACACTGCCTCCTGGTGGTATTAATGCAGCACCAGCGGTATGGGAGTCACTGTGATATAAATGCAGTGACAACAATAAAACAATAAAACTGTTCATTCTCCTCAAACCAAAGACTGTACTAAATATTAAATGAGACTTAGTGTTAAAGTGCTGTGTTCTTAAGAATATTAAGTGTTTTTCCTTCCCTTTTGGTTTATAGAAGAGCAGCAGTAAAGTTCATATCTGTAATGTCTAGAGTTGCCCAGCAGGAGGCCCCAAAATCACAACTAGCACAAAACCAGCAGCAGCGTTATTATTCACAAGTGTCATCAGTGACATACAAAAATCAGTACTGCTATGACATTGACTATGAAAACAAACTAGTTCATCTGTTTCTGTATTTTAGATGAATTATCTGATACAAAACAAAAAATAGTAATTTAATATGTTTTCTCCAACACAAAAAGTGCAACTTCTCAGTCACATGGATCTGCATGCTTAGACTGAGAGTCTTTGTGGTAATTCATCAAGACAGGGCAAAATTCAGATGAGGCCAAAACAGGATATATCTGTGTATGGATGGTTAAAATATCCTCAGAAGCAAAACAGGAAAGAAAGCAAGGTCAAGTGCAAACTGCAGAGAAATTTTGAAAGCTTTTTATTAACAAGGCATTTTTATCATTTAAATTATACAGCTCGACTTTTTTTTGTTTCATTGTATATTCATATTTGTTTTCAGGTGATAGTGACTTAAATTCACAATGATACATTCACTGTTTTTAATTTATTTTACAAACAGTGTTATTTAGAAGACGGTAATCCACTGCACACTTTCATCAGGTGGCATAATGAACTGTTTTGCTTCTGTTTGCTGCTCCTCAAAGGCATGTTTTTGTTTTCTTGCTGGACTTAGAGGTTTTCTGCTTTGCCACGGCAAGTTCAAACTGATGGGTGACTGACAAACTTCTGTAAAACTTTTCATGAGCATGCATTGCTCATGAAAAGCTCATGAAAGCTGCAGCAGTAAAACATCTGAAGCATGCAGGACAGAAATTACCTTTGATGTTTACTGTCAGTGCCGCTTGTTTTATTAAGTCTTTTGTTTCTGAGCAAACTTCCCAGCACTATTTGTAGAATAATATACTTTATGACTTGGTGTACATAGATATGCAGTTCTTAAATGTGTTTCAACAATGTTCTCATACATCTGAGTTTTAGTTTAGGAAACATACAAATATATAAATAATAATATATATATATATATATATATTTTTTTTTTTTTTACATACTGTGTCCTGTGTCTCTTATGTAATGAGTAACTTACATTTAAGTTGCACTGCACCTGGCCTTTGGTCAGGTCAATAGTTCAGCAGAGCAGAAAAACAACTATAATCTCTACTAAAATATATATTTGAGCATACTTATATCATCACTCAGAGGTCATATTTCCCTTCTTTGACATCTGAGTTGTGGAGGACAGAACCATGTCTTTATTTGTATTTTTATTTTTATTTCAACATACATTGGGAAAAAGATTCGGTTTTCAATCACATTAAGAATCTGAGCTGTTTGCTGGTGAACACTTAGTTGATACAGCTGCAATAAGAAAGCGATTGACCTCTTTTTGCTCTGATGACCAAATGCATTTTCATCCTGACCTCATCAATTAATCTGCTTTCCAATGATTGAAAGAGGGAACTTTCCAGGAGGGCAAAAACACATCCCTTAAAGAAAACCATTTAGGTGGACAGTAATAATATTTTATAATGCCCTTTATTTCAAATTTTACATGTAAGGTCACATTCACACTCTAATGATGGGAAGCTTCTGGATTGTAGCCTGGCTGCCTTGGGGCAGTCGGACAAAAATTAGGCTGTCATTTTGTGCCTTCAGCCTTTCTGAACACCACAATTACAAGACAATTGCGTCTTGTCCTGGGAAAAAACTGGAAAGAATAGACTTACCAGCTGCACCCTGTTTCTAATCAGAAACCTGTTCTTTATCAAGTAATCAAATTCAGCATCATTCTCTGTCAGTCCCAGTTGGATTCTTCTGTCATTCACCTTGTTTCCTGGTTCTCTTCTTCTCTGTTCTTGTTTTTTTCCTGCGTCCTGCCTGCTGCCACCTCCTATTTATGCTTTTTCAGTCCACACTCTTTCTATTTATTACTAATTTTGATTCTGTTGTGGCTGCTTGTAAGTTTTATGTATATCATCATTAAGAAGTCTTCACAAAATGATCCTCCCATGCTTCTACTTGCTATTTGAACCAATCTTAGACTTACAGCTTTTCTATGTGCTTAATAGAATCATTATACATTGATACATTTCACACGTTTAATCATTTTAATTTGATAACTATGGCTTACAGGCAGTGAAACCCAAAATTCAGTTTCTCAGAAATTTTAAATTTTGCATATGGCCACTAAAACATATTTCTAATACAGCAAGGCTCTGTAGGTATTTAAGTTTCATCCTCTAACCCAGGTAAGGTGCTTCTATTTGGTTCAGGACCTAACATAATGTATGTGAAATCTGTAGTCCATCACTTGAATAAGCTGCAGTCAATAACTTTTTATTAATCTTCTCAAAACTTTTAAACTGATTCTTCTTCACAACCCTATTTGTCCATGGATCTTTTTCCTTCCACTAAATTTTCCAAAAAATGTGCTTGATACTATTTGTTGCACAAAGACTACTTAATAGCATTTTTTTTGTCATCTTCTTTGCTCAACCCTGTTAGAGAGAATGTGAAGCACTGATTGTTTCGGCTATATCACAGTCATGACACAACATTTCGGTCCTAAATTTTTTTTGGGTTGGGGTTATTGGCTGCATGCCTTAATCATCAAAATGAACAAATTATCTTAAAAGACTTTATCTTTCAAGATAAAATCTTAAAAGATTTTATTTGTTCATAAGAGCTTAATGTTTTAATAGAATAACTGAAATACATAAACTTAACAAGTTAGTTTCCATTATGGAGATGTATCTTCAAAATGATGTTTTTTTAAAATTGAGAAAAAGGAGTAAAACAAAATAGATGTGTGTGTTAAGAAGAATAGAACAGTTTGCACAGATTGTGCAGTTGATACTAGCATGTTTCCATTTTTGGCAGATTGCTGCTTTACACAGTTCCTCATCACATGACTTTAGAAATATGTGGTTGTTGTTTTTTTTTTTAGTCATGAACTTTTTTAGTCAGCATCATATGTTTGTTTGTCAGCATCTCATCAAATTCTTATTAATTATCAAATAATAGAATTCTTCAAATATTTGTGGATGCCTCACATTTCCCTTTTAAACATGCAAATCATTTTTATTACTTCTAGATTCCAGTAAGTTCCTCACAAGCAACAAAACCGGTTTCTGGTTGTTTTCTTTTCTTTTGTTCTCCATTTTCTATTTTTAACATATCTTGCTTTCAGTTTTGTGTCCTTTGACACCAGATAAAGACACATCTAG